CCTTATATTTGTGCTGTGTGGCTACTTCAAAAGTGACAGTTCCCCCGCCCCCCATTGCTGATGAAATCGGGACCTGTTATGCTGTGTTACAATACCTGATCACGAATTGTCAGAGCGCTCGCATTTCCACGAGAGGAAAACACAAACACACCGGGGAGAGGGCTTTTCTAAACAGCCAACACTGAGCTCACACACAAAATCACCATGCAGCTCTCAAGACGTAACAAACCCTCGCTGTGTCTAGAGATGATCTAGCTAAAATTCCCTAATGTCTACTCAGACATGCCTATCGTCAATGCTAACTGAACTGTAAGGGAAACAGCGCCCAGGCTGTCACTTCGTACTTCTCAAGTGAAATCCGTTTAGAGGAGAGTTCTTGCGGGTAATCTTATTACCAAGTGCCACAAATCACTTTATGGAAGTCATTAAAGGCTAATTTTATAAACTTAAAACATGGAAATTTTAGACCTGAGAGGTTCGAGACATTATGTTCATTCCACCATTAAGTGGAGAATATGTAAACACACACTATATTATCTATGAAAACTGACAAAATTTTCTCTTGGCCCAACAGCTCCTGAAATCAGGATGGGAAAAAAACAAATGAGAAATAGGGATTTTGTGCAGCAGCTGAGGAACAGGCATGAAGAGCAATGGATTTCACTGTTTCTTTTTAAAGTAGGCAAGTCCTGCAGTTTCTATATGGGACAACCCACCACCACACAAATGGCGGTAGTCCTGAGCAGTCCTCAGAGCATGCGGTCTCTGTTCATAACAGTGGAAATTAATTCCTGGTTAATAGAAAACAGCACAAGAGGAGTATGTTCCAAAGCGCTAAATGCTTGCTGTCTGATCCCGTGCAAACTGCACTCAGTCCCTTTAACGCTCACAGACCTACCCACAACCACCACAGCACTGTCCCGCCCTCAGTGAGCTTTCTAGGCAGCTAAAAAGATTCTGCACAGAAGGCAGTGATCTACATATAAATCTTATTAATTGAAATAAATACAGGAAAATGTCTTAAAAGCTCATGTCTTTAAAGGCCAACAAGCAAGCAAAACCCAGCACACACATTAATGAGCCGATTCGCCCTCCTTCAGAGAGCAAGAGCCAAGCCATTAAGATGATTACAGATGTGTGTGTGTGTGTGTGTGTGTGTGTGTGAGAGAGAGAGAGAGAGAGAGAGAGAGAGAGAGACAGAATGAGAACGAGATACAGCATGCACATAGAGGTCAGAGGTCACCTTGTGGGAGTTGGTTCTTCCCTTTACCATGTGAAACTCAGGACATCAGGCCTTGGTGGCAAAGGCCTTTACCAGCACAGCCATCTTGCCAGCCGTCAAGCTCCCTTTGACATTCATTCTTTCCAGATTTGTAGTGTATGCTTCTTGTATGATGGAGGAAAGAGGCAGCCATGTGTTAGGCCCACTTAGGGTGGGGGTGTGATCTCCGCACCGGGACTGGGGCCTTCTGTCTTGCCCACCAGATGCAGTAGGCTTTCATCCTAAACTACTAAAGGCTACTCTGATGTGGCTAAAGAACGTGACCTTCCTATAAGCCCCTTCTTCAAGGTAATTTCCATTGTGAAAATATTTTCACCTCTATAAATAAGGAAGGAAGGCACATAACCTGCTGGCTAGGAACCAGTCCACTAAGACGTGCCCCATACCCAAAACCTCCTAAACCAGAGTTACCCAACTCCCCTCGCACTCAATGCAAATGGGTAAATTATTATCTTTGATCTCCACTAACAGTGTGAATATTACTACTGAAACACTTTCTGAAAATTCTAATTTTACCTTTAAAAATATGGTGACATCACAGTAGCTGTTTGGGGAATCATTTAACCAGTATTTTAAGAATTCTGTGTGCAAGCTTTCTGGTGTCTCTAGTGCCACGATGTTTTGCATTTTATTTATTCAATATTCAAATACTGCCTGGGTTAGATAATGCGTACACCTGGACCAGCTATTATTGCATAATTGCAGGTTCTGGTCTATGTCTCTGCTTTCAACTTGACTTAAAAATTCTCTGTCCTATGAAATGATATCTCCATCTTGAAAATAGAATTGCTGAGTTGATCCAGTGAGACCTTGTCTCAAATAAATAAGTGAAATAAATTACAAAATAAATAAAATGGACCTCAGTCTTCAGACTAGAAAGACATAAGGCCCAAGAATCAAATACATAGTTTAAAAATTAGCGTTAACTAAAGAGGTATCAGCCTTTCGTCAAAGTGTCTGGAATCTTCTTTTGACTGGTAATGAATCAGAATGTTTGACTTACAAGTTTTCAGTCATTGTAGTTGAATTGATTATTTATTTATTTATTTTTTGGTCATAAATAAATTTTGTCTCTTTAAGGAAACAAAGTCAAAATTAACAGCAATTTCTTCAGTTCTATTTAGGGGGAGGGGCAGGGAGATCCATACTTAAGTCTACATTATTACAGGGGTGAATGTTGGTTTCCCTACTGGCAAGTCATGTGGTAATTAGTGACCACTAAGTTTCAGTCCCGCTTTCAAGCAGTTTGCTGTGTACTGAGAAAAAAAAAAAAAAAAAAAAAAAATCACAGGATTTTACCCATGACATTGGAGGTGAAGGAAAGCTACTTGGTGGATTAATGTCAAACTGGATTATATTTGAAAGCTCGTAATGTAAACAGGCCCAGCCCTTCAGGGCTTTCCTGTTTCATTCTTAGAAATTATAACGACTGGCTTTTTACACAACGCAGATTATTTCATTTAATTTGTTCTAAAAGTTTCAAAAAAATATACTGAAAACTAGTTTCACAAAAGACTAAGACCCAATGGGAACTAAATTGAGAGCTGCATTATGAGCAAGAGCCTTTGCCACTTTAACAGAGAAAGAGACTAAGGCTAAGGTGACAGCTGTCTGGTTCCGCCCTCACCAGCCCCACACTCACTGGGAGGCTCATCATCACAGCCCTCACAGCATTTCACCACCCCAGCTTCTGCAGCTTCACACACACCGAGCTCATGATGCTCCTGGCAGCCAGTTTAACAAAACACTCATCGTAAGTGGGCGTTCCTGATGCGCCCCAAAATGAATGGCAACAGTGGCTTGTCACTCAAATCCCGTAACTTAGGCCACAAGCTGATATGGAAAAATCTTCCCAGAGGAAACATCAGGCCTGAGACACAAGAAACACAGCTGACATAAGGCATTGTGTGATTTTCATCAAAATACCGGGGCTGTGTGGTCTTATCACCTTTGTGACCCAGTACTGATCGCCAACATCCATTGCCCTGTGTAATGGTTAAGGAGAAGCAGCACCTGCTTTGCGTGGCTGATAGCACAAAGTATTTGACACAGGCTAAACCCAAGGTACATGCCTGCTCCTTGCTGTCATTATTACTTTTGGGGGCTACACACAAACGAACGACATCTATGTCTGTATCTCTTCAGTCCCTAGAATCACAGACTTTCAACACCCTGGACGGGCTGTGCACCCAAAGGCAGTAATAAACTGTGGAATATTCCTTTACACTGTGCGAATATATGTCACTGTGGTTGGTTTAATAAAGAAGCTGGCTGGCCCACAGAATAAGGTCAGGTGGGACAGCCAAACTAAGGATGCTGGGAGGAAAAAGGGCGGAGTTAAGAGTTGCCAGCAGGTGCAGAGAAAAGCAAGATGGACATCTGCCATGAGAAAAGGAACCAAACCATGTACCAAAGCGTAGATAAAAGTATGGGTTAACTTAATTCTAAGACTTAGCTAGTAACAGCCTGGGCTATTGGCTGAGCATTTGTAATTAATGTTAAGCCTCGGTGTGTTTTTTTTGGGAGCTGCTGGTGGGACACATACTTCCGCCAACAATAAACAGCAAACAGTGGTCATAAATATTCCAAGTTATCTTTCAGGGTTCACTCATGTAAGCCCCATTACTAAGGGCTGGCAAAGGGAACAGTAGGTCAGATGTAACAACAACAACACAGAAGTTTGGAAGTCCATTTCATTTTTATCCTTTCCAGGGGGAACCGAACCTGAGCATTGGACATGAGGTCTCTCACATGCTTTACATTGAGAACCCAGCCTATAGTTTTACATATCTTGGTTCTGTTTGGTCTTCCCTTACCCTCTATGTGTTAACTGTGCAAAATTCTTCTACTAGTCTTTGACAGAAAGTAAAACACATCTCATAAACAGAACAGGACCCATGACAACCTCAAAAGGTTTGTGGCACACATACAGCAAATGCTTGATAGTCTGCTGAGGATGCTTGACATACATCCCTGTTTCCAGGAATGAAACTATCTTTGTACTGTGCAATGATAAGATTCCGCTTTCACTGTCATAAGTGGGCCCCAGCCCAAAGGCACTGAAACAGCCAGTGTTTTAATGTAGTGTTCCATTAAGTATCAATGAGGCTATCAAGAGGCAGGATCGACTTTGTCCAATCAAAAACAATTTACTTCTAACTTCATCAGCCACGAGCGGAAGATCTGTATAAAACTAGGGTTGCAACATGAAATATCATACTGTCTTTAAAAAATATAAACTTCTACAAGAAAAAAAGTTCAGAGAAGAAATTAAATTAAGAGGGATGAGAAGACTCATTTAAAAAAAGAGAGAATGGGAAAAGACTATAATTATAAACTATAATTTATCACAAAAGAAAATGCTTGGAGACGAACGTCTGAAGCTTAGTTCAAAATATAGCCCTGGTCACTACAAATGTCAGCAATAAATGGAAACAGAAATGACTCCACTGAGGTTAGGTCAAGGCTTGCCTGGAGCTTATTCAAGTTCTCTTTGACTTAGTGATATCATCTAGGTCTTTGGACTGGGCTGCTATCTCTGAATCTTACAACCATATGTAATGAGTATTCAGGGTTCTGTACTATATGCCAGTCATTCTAGGAGGTCAACGAAAACCTTCCAGCAACAACAACAACAACCCAGAAAGTTCCTTTTTGTACTAGTTAGAAACGTCTTTAATAATGAAAACTTTCAGGAAAAAAACATAGAATTCCCTACCTTAAATATGTCAAGTTGCTGGTTAATTGTCTCTGTTTCTGTCCCGACTGGACCTTGGGACTCTTCGTGCTCTTCGGCCTTGTGGAGGAGGGTCGAGAACTCCTCCAGTTTCCGGTACAACTCTTCAAGCCTCTCAGTGGTGCCTTCCACCTGCTCTTCTCTGGCTTTTGCTCGGTCTAGCAACTTGTTGCACTGTTTGCTCAAGGCTTCTAAGTCCCTTTTGATTCCAACAAGGTCAGGAGAGGTTTCTTCCGTGGCCAGCATCATCTTGCAGGTGTTGTTTGCACTGGCATTGCTTGCTATGAGGGCTTCCAGTTTCTTGAGAAAGTTCTCTATAGATGCCTTTTGCTTTTGCAGTGTCTCTACATCTCTCCCCACGGGAGCCATGCTATCTAGCTCATCGTCAAACTCTGTAAACTGAGAAAACATCTCTCGGATGGTATTCTGGAAGTGTCCAATACCCTGCAGCTTGGTTTCTAGGAAAGAACACTTCCCATCAACTTGCTGGCTTAGTGTTTTATGCTCTTCAGCTAATGTTTCTGCTTGCAACAAGACATCAGAGGTTCCCTTGGAGTCTGCTGTTTCTATCACGAGGTCCTGGGTGAGCCTTTTTGCCAAGTCCACCTGGTGCTTCAGGGTCTGGAGTGATTTCTGTTGAGCCTGCAGCATGGTCAGGTGCTTGCTACTGTAAGCCTGGGGTCCTAGGGACTGAAGGACATCCAACTGTTCTTTCGCACTCAGGAGCTGCCTTTTGGCTTCTTTGGAGACTTCCTGGAAGTCTTTAAACTTCTGGGTCATGTTCTCCAGGGAGACTTTCTTCCTCTGAAGCTGTTTGCTGACCCTGTCTACCTGCTGGATCAATGCCTTATTTTCATCTGTGACCACCTCTTTATCTACCTCACAGACACTGAGCAGGCTATTGGCTGTGTTGTTCAGTGATTCCACCATGCCAACGTGGTGGTCCATTTCCTTCTGCAGGGATTTTAACTCAGCCATGGAATTCTCCGTCTCGGCGGGATCCAAGCAGAACTTCACTTTGTCCAGACTCTGCTGACATCTGTCTATCCACGGCTGCAGAGTTTCCACCTGCTCCCTGTACTTGAGGGCTTTCTCCAGCGAGTCTTTCAAGGCGTCTTCCCTTTCGCTCACCTGTTTTCTAAACCGGTCCCAGTTGGTTTTCATCGTGTTAAGCTGTAACTGTAAGGCTGCCTTCTCTGCCCCCTGCGTTTTTAATAACAGATTTTCGCCTTCCGAGATGGTTTTTTCGTAAATGTTAGACTGCTCGGTGAAAGTTTTGCTGAAGTCTCTCTGAGCTTTAAGTAACGACTCCAAGACATCCAACCTGGCTGAAATTGGGGGGGTGTTTCTTTGTTCTTCCTTCCTTGTGTCAAGCCAAGCCTGGAAATCCCTAGACATCTGCTGAAACTGGTGAGAGCTTGCACAGGCCGACTGAAGGCGCTGGACATGAGTCTCTGAAAGGCAAGCCACAAATACATCACTTTTACACGAAGATCTTAACATTTTCTCTAAAAAGCCAACAAAAATCTCCAAGTGATGGTATGTGATTATCCTCAAGCAAACTTTTAGCAATGACTCAAAGTGAACTTGAGCTGCTGATGGGAGGGGGGAAGAGGGGAGGCAAATAGAGTAGGAGGCAGCTGGGGCAGGCCAGCTGTGAGGGCAAAACAAAAGCCATGGAAATAGGTAAGAATGAAGGTACAGGGTGTAGACACGACACACTAGGCCTGTTCTTAGAAGGTCTTCTCCATGCCAGCATGATAAATGAACAACGGCACAGTTCTGGGTTGTCTTAGTCACCCACGTCTTTCTAAAATTTCATTGAAGACATGTTCCCCCATAAATACATTTGGATTATACATTCCCCCATCCCTAACTCCTTCCAGATCCTCCCCATGTCTGTGCCCACACAGCTTCAAGTTCTTCCTATGCTCTCTAAAATGACAATAGTAACAATAACAATCATCAAAATAAACGAACCAGGAAAAAAGGAGTTCAGTGTGACAAAAAGGTATCAACACGCACACACGCACACAAATCCATGGAGTCTGGCTTTTATAGACCAACTGCACCCGGACACGGGTCCTGCCCTGAAATGTGTTTGATTTACCCGGTAAATTTCAAGGTAGAAAACGTGTCCACTGCAGACAGCTTCTTGGTTAGGGGAGGACTGTGTGTCCACGCTCCCCTCTAAGCACTGGGATTTTGTCTGGTTTGAACCTGTGCAAGTCTCCTGTGTGCTGTCGATAACCCATTTCACGCAAACAACCTTTCCCGCATTTCTCTGACTTTTCTATATTCTTGGGGTTTAAATTATTTGCCAGATACTTTCAGTTCTGAGATCAAGCCAGGACACCAAAACACGCAGATCCTACATATGGGTACTATGCTGTCTCTGTGTGAAAGAAGTCTGAAATGGTTGCTATAATCAAGACAAAAGTTGAACCAATTAAAAACCAAATCAGATACAACTAGAGGCAAGGTCTAGAAGCTAGTGGACTTCTGGAAATGAACAGACCAGGTGAAGCATGCCCTTCTTTGGCAAGACCCTTTATCTACTTCATTGTACCTAGGAAGTGCCAACGAGTTTGTCACAGAATTATTGCTACAGGAGACTGAGGAAAACAGAGAAATCCATACATTTCTCTAGAAAAGCTTTCTGTGACAGAATCATACAAAGTAATAACAGATGAGAAAAAGACACAAGCCTTTCAGAAAACTATTCACCTGCCTTTCTGATGAAATAAGGCAAGGCAACACAGCAAAAATATGTATGTGTTTAGAAGACCAACCCAGAGTTAGAGCATTTGCAGTGTGTGGACTGCATACAGAATGCCTCTCTCTGATCTGTGTAGAACTTCCATCGAACTCTACCCATGCACCTGTGCCCAGGGCAGGCAGGGTCCTTTCCCAGCCACAAATTATCACCAAGAGCTTGGGAACAGCAGTATAGGGTATCAATTTCTGACCGGGAAACTGATATATATATATATACAAAGAGAGACAAACCTGTTTTTTGTTCAATGTCCTTAAATGACTTTATGATGCTCTCCAGTTGCCTACTCAGTTCTGCTTTCAAGTAGCTTTCTTTGACCAGTGCTGACAGGTCCTCACAGAGTACCTGGGCTGTCCTGATCTGCGGGGTTTGCTGCTTGATCTCCTGCTTCAGTTTCTGGGCGGCTTCCAGCTGCTGGTTCACCGCGTCGGGCAGTGTGCCGGTGGTGAGGCTGCTGCCCAGCCTGTCATCCAGTTCCCTCAGGGTACCCGACAGACTCCTCAGGAGGCCCTGATACTGCGTGCTTTTGACAATAGCCTGGTCAATCCAGTCACACCTGTCCCTCAGTTGCCCAGTCAGGCTCTCCCACTTGTGGATCACGGCCACCAATTGCTCATTCACAATCCTGTGTAAAGAAGGGTCTCCCCCAGGTCTGCTCAGGATGCTCCGGCCAGCTGCTGTAAGCTGTTCGTATTGGTGCTTCCGAGTGTCGAATTCTTGAAGCAGAATCTGGGTTAAGCGTAGAAAATAAATGAAGGGTTTGTACAGTTAATTACAGAAAACACAGTTCCCAAACAGACAGATATGGCCCTAATGTCTCTAGCTTGTTTTGAGTTTTGTATTAATGTTTGAGGGCAGCGCCATTATCTGACACTAATTGAAAGAGCCCACAGTGCTTCCCAGTTAACAACTTGTTTAGAGTAAGGGTAAGAAGCATGATGTAAACCGTAGCTCATTCACACTTTCCAGAAACACACGAGAGGAGACGCTGCTGCTTAGTTCACAGCACCAACACCACATTTATCTTGCCTGAATCATCCTTTTTCCTTTGACAGCTTAATACTTCCTAGCATTCTACATTGAAGAAAATGCAGGGGTGGCCGTTTCTTGTGTGCAAGTGCTCTTGGCTCATAGAACTTGTTTTTAATAGAGGATTTACTGACATTTACAATCTTTATATCAAAGTTTTAGAGATAAAATCATACTGCTCAGAATATAGAGGCTCACCATGGCCGTCATTAGTAATGACCCCAAAATGTCTTCTTCGTGCTGTACCTAATCTTTTATTTTAGATTTTTATCTATTTTTACGCTTATATATCTATTCTTTTCAGACTGCTAAGACGGCAAGCACATATTTCTCCAGAAATTTCCTTGTTATCTTTCCTTTGTCTTCGTTCTTTTTGTATTATGAACACATATGAACTAGAACACGTAACTAACTCCCGAGACTTGGTGACACATTTGGCTTACAGGAACTCCTCCTCCCCGCTCCGAGGCTCACACCTCCAGGCACACAACTGGAAGCAGACAGACTTTGTGCTCGTCCGTCTGACATAAACATCGTGGATTCTTTCCCTCGAGGGCTTATCTGTGAATGACCAAGACTCATCTAATTTACTTAGGTTCTGAGGTTCCCTCTGCCCCCTCAGTATTCGTCCTTGCCCCCAACTCTGCTCCGTCTTCTGCTCAGGACCTTGCTGCACGAGTTTACAAATTCCCATCAAAACGAACGAGGCCTCAAAGGATAATTTATGAACAAAGCAAAGTCTCTATCAGCATCACCGTTACTTAGGCAATCACGTCCCTCCCTTCAGAGACTCCTGAGGGTTAAGTGGGCCAGTAACAACTGCACAACTACACTATGACCACACAGTGGGCGGAGGATTTGCTCAGGGGGAATCCTGTGGCTTCTCTCTCAGCTGTAGTTGTCTAAGCCTCTTGCTTTGGAAAGCACGTCCCACAGCGGGAAGATGCACACACACACACACACACACACACACACACACACACACACACGCACGCAGGCCACGCTAACGTATTTACACTGAACACGGTGGCCTTGCCAAGTCAAGGGCTGCCCCACAGCTGACACTCAGACAACACTCACCTGCACCTGCTGCCGCTGTGTGCTCAACATGTTTGGGTCGATGGATAAAGGTCCAAGGACACTGACCATCAGTTCTTTCTCCAAAAGCCACTGCTTTAACTGGGCCTCCGTAGTCTGGAACTGGGTCAGGTTACTGGAGGACTCCTCCAGCTTCTGTTGTCTGTCAGCTGTTAACTGGTTGAGCTCTTGCCACTTAGTATCTGAACGGAAAAGGATGGCATTGGCATTTGGCTTTTGTACATTAAATATCACCACTGGGAAACTGTAATCCTGTGGTTCAAATGGTATATAATAGATGCCATTCCTTCCCACCCCCGCCCCCTGACTTGGGTGTTAGGATTTACACCCAGGGCCTTAATACCGGGCAAGTACACTACATCTCCAGTCCTCGTCCACCTCTTATAGCTCTCATTCACATTAGTTCTAACTTAAACGAAGTCAGTGTGTGAAACGTCCCAGGGATAACCCACGAGATTGTGAACTCTGCCATTCTAAGGTGCTGGCCACTATGACACCAATTCTGGAGAAATCAGCCTGACAGCCTCTGCTGAGAGCACACAGACTTCCATAGGGTTGGGCTGGAGGCGATGTGGGGGAACCATCATGGAACCCAAAGCTATAAAAGTCAAAACATGTCCTCTCTACCGGAGCCTTTTCTCTGGAGCCTTGCTTCCCTGTCCTGCTGTCCACAGCAGCTCCCAGGATGCCTGTAGCATTCTCTTAAGGCACTGCCAAGTTATGTGGGCTATGCCCATCGGTTATGATGTATAGGTCCCCTAATGCTCTCTCTCCCAGGTCAAGGCCTGATCATGGCCTCTGTGGTCCTGAGGTTCTCTTTCTAATAATGCTCATTCTAAATGGCAACAGTCTCAGCTTCCTGCTTCACAAACCATCCATGTCTTCTGTGCCATTCTTTGTTATGGCATTATGGGTCTAGTGATGGTATATCAACTTGAGTGTAATAAGTAAAACAAGCTTGAACTTAGTTTAGAAGGTAAAAATATTAAACTTCCTCAAAAACAAGCAGGTCCCTGTGACCTCTCATTCTTTCTAAAAACCCTATACAGTCACTAAAGTGTGTGTGTGTGTGGTGTGTGTGTGTGTGTGTGTGTGTGTGTGTGTTTAATGTGTACTGAATCTAGGGCTTTGTATACTAGGCAAGTTCTCTATTACTAAGCCACACCACAACCATGAATCTTAAAGAGAGAAAGAAAGAAGTTCCTCAAGTATTTCTAGGCAAATGGCTTCCAGACTTGAACATTTACCCTCAAGCATTCTATTAAATTCACTCAGTGTCAGCCAGCTGCTGCAAAGGTACAGTGTGGAATCTCAGCAGCCCCGTGGTGAGACAGTCTAACCTCGTGACTAACCTCAGTCTAACCACTGACTCCTAAGTCGCACTTGGAGAACTGGACAATGAAATGGCAAAGAGAAATCACACAGGGAAAGCCCTCACCACATTCACAGCCATCACAGGGACCATTAGTTATGTTCTTCTAAAAGCTGATGCTAGGTCCTGTTTTATGCCTCTTTCAGAGGCTACCTCCTCTCTTCCTTTACACTGAGATGCAGTAGTTCAGAATGATTAAAAAAAAAAAAAACATGTTTAATTATGTGCCTGTCTATCTTCGTGTGTGGTGGGGGTGGGGGTGGTTTGTGGATGCCAGTACAGTACAGGTGGCCCTCAGAGGCCAGCAGTGCTGGACACCCAGGAGCTGGAGCTGGAGGTCATTGGAGCTGTCCAAGGTAGGTGCTAAGAACGGAACTCAGGTCCTCTGCAATAGCGATATGTACTCAGCCCCACAGTGACTTCTGATGCCCCTGACCTCTCCTGCTAGGCCATCACAGCTCCGAGTACCGTGGCCTACACCATACTTTTCCTAGACCACAGTGCTTCCCAAACCCAGCTGCGACAAACCTCCTGGAGGGACCCGATGCAGTGCGTCTGGAGTGGGGGTTCCACAAGTTCACACTTCTCACTGGTTCCTAGGTGTGTGTGGACGCCAAGAGCACACTGTGAAACCACAGACACAGCCTAGCGCTCCTGTGACTCATATCCCTGCTATTTATTTCTCAGCCTCAAGCCATTTACTTCTCAATTTCCCTCGAAAACTACCGTTTTTACACATATCACTTCCCTACTCGAATCCTTCAATCAGTAACTTCTCATCATTTGCCAGAAACTCAGGGCCTGCCACAACCTGACCCCGGAATGTTCATCTTGTGTTTATACCAGGGTGAATCCTCTAATCTAGCCCTCGTAACCTTCACGCTCTCCCCAAAGCAGTCATGTTCACATGAGCCGGACCTGGGCACCTCCCTGCAACATCTGCTATTCCTCTCTGTCATTCCTAGTCCCACAGGACCTTACCCTCGGCCGGGAAACCTTCGTCCTCTCCTAGCGTCCACAGAGCACACCTGAGGTGAAGCATTAGTTATCAGAGCACTGAGACAGCACTTAAACCAACCAGGCACCCCAGAAACCATAGCTACATGCTGTTTATCTCAGGTTTTTAAAATATGTATTTGTGTGGACACTCAGGTGCATGGACGTGTGGAACCTGAAGGGCCACCCTCGGTACCATTCCTGGGGCTGTGTACCTTTGCTTGTTTTGTGTTTTTCTCTATGAGACAGGCTCTCTCATTGGCCTGGTACTTGCCAGGAACTCCCCAGCACAGGGATTGCAAACTTGTACTATCGTGTTTGGTGCTTTTACATGGGCTCTGGGGACCAAGCTGTCCTTATTCTCACCTGTCAGCAAGCACTTTTATTGACTGAGCTGTATCCACTAGCCCCAAGAGATTTTCTTTCCTTGGTTTTATCACATGGCACAACATACTAAAGGATAAACTTTAATAGAACACAGTGACTTCTATTTAATGGTATCCCTCTGCATGGCAAGTTCTAATCCAATATAATCTGACTAGAGGGACTGTTATCAAAAGAAGAGAGGGTAGAGAGGCATCAAAAGCATCAGGAGGCTTTTGAGGAAGCAGACACTCTTCTCTCCCATGTCTATTCTAATGTCTGACACCACTGTGCTCATGGGAATGGGATATCCAACGAGAGCCACTGACTTAGGGAACCACGGGGCTCTGATATCCCAAGGAGAGCCACTGACTTAGGGAACCACGGGGATCTGATATCCCAAGGAGAGTCACTGACTTAGGGAACCATGAAGCAGAGGGAGTCGGCTCCTGTCTACCTCTGAACATTAAGAACACTTTGTTTCTAAGCTCATGATGCCTAACGCTGAAGAGGAGGTTTGAAATAAACCCAATGGAGTCGCTGAAAGTCAAGGCATCCCAAGAATGACCAATGGCATACACTTCACACTGCACACACTATGGCTCCTAGCTAGACACACCTTAACTTGCCGAAACTTCTAAACAACAGACGGAAGTAAGAAAACTTCCTTTCTTAGACTTCTTAGCTCACACAAACTGAAAAGTCCTTTGAAGAAAATTCTGCCTACGAGCAGTTACAGACAGGACGGGAGGGGAAGGAGGGTTACCCAGTGTCCGTTCAACAGTGGCTTGAAAGAAAGAAGAGCTAAGAAGACAGGGCTGGGGGAGTCCCAGTGTCACAAAGGAGAAGGGACTCTGCCTTTTCCAGGTGAATGAATGACAGGAGACAAAACAAAGGACGGTAGCTATGAGCACAAAGCCAATAAAAAGAAAATACGGGCCGATGAACATGTTAGTCAGCGTAGAGCATTTTCTTATCAATCCACCTTTTCCAAAAGGACAGCTGGATGCCAATTCTCAGAACAATGCCTTGAAAGTCACAACTTTAAATAATCAAAAAGACACTCTGAGACATTTGATTACCCAGAAGCAAACGAGACTACTGGGAGGTCTCTGAAAAGCATCCTGATGTCTGCGAGCTGAGGCACAACGACAAACTCACCCATCTCGGTCAGCATCTGTTTCCAGGTGGAGGCCTCGGGAGCCTCTGGGCTCTCCTTCAACAGCTCTGTCAGTTTGTCCTTCAGCTCTTGCACTTTGTTTACATTTTGCTTCAGTTCGGCCTCAAACGACTAACAAAAAAAAAAAAAAAAAAAAAAAAAGCAATAATCTGCATGAAAGTACATCGAAGAAGCACAATTATGCTACAGCGTGCCCCCCCCCCATGAGCCAGAGAGGAAAAACCCCCTAAATTAAATGCTGGAGTGGGTGAGGAGCTGGATTATGCAGCCGATAATTCTCATTTTTTTTTTTTTTTTGGTCTTCGCCCACCTTCAACTGCGAGATACAGAAATCCCACAGGGGGATTCTCTAACGGTGGAGGGAATGACCAACTGCTACTCAAGAGAATTTTGTGCTTCCAAACTCCTACAGGGAAATGCAGGATGCTCTCAGAGAACATAGGCAAATCAGCCTTTGTGATGGCCTCCAGAATTTGAGACTCTACTTGGGAATAAACACGTGGTAGAAGTCAAATACAGGCTGATAATTTGCCTACCTTACCATCGCTTTCCCAGTTTTGACAGTTTTAAAGAAGAGGACAGTGTTAGCTACCCCATTTTATAGCAGACAAAACAGACCCTTAATACATTTAGCCCTTCACTGAATCTTCCCCAAAAGTTAACTAGTTAATATCCCAGATTTAAGTGATTTAACAGTGGCAAAGTTACTTATACCCAATAGTTCAGTTCTATTTATAATGTCAGGGGATAGGGGAAATGACTATTAATTGCCCTAATCTACAGAAAGAGATTTTTAAAATTCTCAAGTTATTTGTGGAAGGGTCTAGGTAGAAAACAGAACAGAGCTCACGACCACCAGGGTTGCTTCTGAATTTCAGTCCATTCTCTCTGATGTCTTCATTCTATGTACCCAGTGTAAGTGTTAGAGCTCTGAAGGGGAAGTTCTCCCTGTAGTTGGAAACTCAGGGGCATCTGCTCTGAGGGAGCTGAGCAGGGCTGTATAACACTTCCGGTGGGGTGCCATTCCCTTCAGAGCTGTAGCTCATCCCTGGCTTGCTTAGGATTTTTAAAAGATTTCTTAGGGGCAGATCTTTCCAAGGTGGAGGTTTTCAGGGTGGGGATTGATTGTTTTTCTGTGCTCTGGAATTGGTTGTCTTTTAATTCCTGAATTGGTTAGGGGCAATGTGTGTTTTTCTGGCTCTGGTCTCCGGGCCGGAGATTTCTTCCACTGGTGTGTTTTACCTTATTCTGCTCAACTTGCATCTTCACAGACTCGGTGTCTGTAGGTGTCGGTGTCTGGTGCCATTTGCTTGCAGTTTTGTTCATCCTCTGTAACCACTGCATCATCGCACTTGATTCTTCCTGAGCCTTTTGCAGCTTGGAGAGTTTAGTATTCAGTTCAGCTATTTTACCCTTGAGTAAGAGGCCAAGGTCCTCATAACTATGGCTTATGTCAGTCATGTCCTTTCTAATAGATGTTAAACCTATGAGTGGGAAGAAAAGTATACCAATGCATGTTGAGGGCTTTGGGGAACAGTTAATAGAACTAAATTTAGACCACACAGTATTTCTTTCTACTTCGTCATGACTGAGCTACAATAAACCACAGACATTTTTAGGATCAAAAGATCAGGTCATGCTGCTAGTTAATGACAAGTAACTCAGCAACACTGCATAATAGTAAAATGTAAATGGCAGTATAATGGAATAATAAACTTAAACATTAACATATTTCTTGGGTGCCAAATAATAAATAAGATCAAATGCAATTCCAAGTAGAAGTGTATCTTAAATTAACAAGAAGGAAATAAAAACAAGTACCAAAGTGAAACATTAAAGTTTTATTATTTTCAGATGGACAGTGGTTACAGAATATTATATCCATGGAGGCTGTGGCCATTTAAATTCAAGTGTAAGATTTCAATATAACTATTGCCCTCTAAAAGGATCTTCTCTTTCTCTTTCTCTCTCTCTCTCTCTCTTTTAAATTTGTTTTAGATTTTCAAGACAGGGTTTCTCTGTATTGCTTTGGAACCTGTCCTGGAACTTGCTCTGTAGACCAGGCTGGCCTTGAACTCACAGAGATCCTCCTGCCTCTGCCTCCTGAGTGCTGGGATTAAAGGTGTACACCACCAATGCCCGTCTTAAAAGGTTTTCTTAAAAACAGCTAATTCTATTAATTATGGTCAGATAAGGTTACTATTCACCTTTATTTGCCAAGAAATCCTGAGTATTTGTGTCTGTTCCTTCACCATTTAGTATTACTCCACCTGCAAAAACAAACATAATGAAGTAACCTTAGATTGCCCCAGTATTTCTACCTACTAGCTATTGATGACATTAAACAAACATTCATAGAGTGGTTATTTAAGAATATTGGTTTTTTTTCTTACAGCAGTGAGGTGGTGTCTTCCTACTGTTTATAAATTAGTCAAAACTTAATTCCTAAATAATGTAGCAAAGTTTTTTTTTATGCTAAAGGCATCGTGTGACAAAGCTACTGAGGGTTAGAAGGTCCCCAGCATGCATACATTAATCAAAGCGAAGTAACTGGGAAGAAAATGTCTGCTTTACCTAAGGGCTGACAGTCGCCTATGGCAGTTTACACAATGTCATCAGAGGCTTAATGAAGGCAGGATGGTTAAAAAGACAAGAAAAAAAGCTTTTGAAAGTAAAGCTGAAAGAAAAGCCTTTGCTAAGTCCATATATGCTGAAACAGAACTGGGGTGGTAGGACTTCTGAATTTAAACGCCAACTATTAGCTATATGCCTAGGAGAACTAATAAATAAAGCTGATGGGTACCATGGCAGCTAACCTGTAAGAATATTATTGGGACCATAGACAGTTAAGCCACTGCCTATCAAACAGAAACTCCTCAGTGAGTCATAATAGCTATTTGTCTTTTATTATTATAACCATCTGGTACTGGCATGTTTCCATAACCACACTGCTAATAAAATCCAACTTTCTCATGCTAGCATTCATTGGCTGTCTATCGAAGCAGAGATATGCCCATACAAGCACAACCAGCGAAAACATCTAAACATCTGAATATTACATTCTCTCTGTCTCTCTCTCTCTCTCTCTCTCTCTCTCTCTCTCTCTCTCACACACACACACACACACACAGATCACACACAAGGCATCTTATATGAAAGTTGGAAGCATCCTAGAGCCTCCAAATTAATTCTTAAAGGTCAAGAAGGAAACCAAGCAGATTTTATTACAAATAAGGGGGCATGAAGAACTAAGATAACTTAAAGACAACAGAATTCCTCCTCTTTAGAAACATCAACTTGGCATCTCAGGTAATCTGATTAGGGGTGAAAGCAGAGATCACTGCAGCATATATAATGTGGGAATCTCTTTCAAAGGGATTAATAGAGTGAAATAAATGTCTAGTGGAGAAAAGTGCAGCTGGAACACGGCTGTCACTCACAATAGGGACAGCTGGAGGCCTGGTCAGACTAGATAAACCAGAGAGCACTGGAAACACACAAGAGAGATGTGCGACCAGCCTTCCATCTCTTCTTCAACTTAAAAGAAGACAAAAATAAACAAACCCACACCCCAATAAAGTATGCCTTCCCTAAACACTACATTCATACTAAATTAGCTTGGGAATCGACATTTGTTTGCAACTTTGTTCTGTGGCCTAGAAGCGTGGGGCCAGCCGGGACTTAGGCTGAAATGTGGGTGTGCTAGCCAACAGGCTTCAGAGTCAGCTGCTTTGGGAACGATGCATGGAAAAGCAGAGAGAGCAAGGGGGGGGGAGGGAGAGAGACAGACAGAGACAGAGTGAGAGAGACAGAGACAGAGTGAAAGAGAGGAGAGGGAGAGAGACAGAGACAGACAGAGAGACAGAGACAGACACAGAGTGAAGAGAGAGAGAGAAGAGCCCACCCCCTTGCCTCACTTATTCCCCAGGAAACCAAATTCATTTCTTTACTACCTGGAATAATGAGGAAATAAACGAGACAAAGAGAACATCGGTGTCTCCGTGTTATTACAGTAAAAAGCAAACAGTCTGAAACCTGACCAGCCCTCTCCCTCAGTATGGCTTTCCTTCCCTTACATGCCATGTGCTTATGTTTTATATAGTGTATTTAATAAAAAACAAACATGGGAGGGATTAATACCGGTACTGTTCCAAGATGGACTCGTGTGTGTGTGTGTGTGTGTGTGTGTTCATGTTCCTACTTTTGTGGGTGCACACGTGTAGGTGTGTATACATATGTCTGCTTCTACATGGAGAGGTCCATGACAGAGGTGGGGTCAGTGAGCAGACCCAGAGGTCAAGGACTCCTTGAGTCTAGCTGGTCAGCCTGCTCTGAGGATTATCTGACTCTGCCTCCTGAGTGTTGTGATCACAGGAAGGCCACCATGCCCAGTCACGTATAAGACGCCTGTGTGATGCACATCCCCGCCCTCACACCTGCACACAATTTATCCACTGAGCCCTCTCCCCATCTCTCCATGAGAGACTTCAATGTATTTCCGAAGTGACTTTTTATTTAATTAATTAAAAATATACAAAATTCACATGCGAGCTCTAAGTCTTACAGACTGGTCATGAAAACATACCTGATTTGACTGCTGCTATGGCCTTTGCAGGGCTTGTCACTGCACTTATCAGGTTACATAGTGAGACCCCACTGTTGTTTGCTTTATGAATTTCTGGTGCTTTCAAACTCCACTTTTCCTGTAATTTCTTTAAACACAAAAACACATTATCGTTCAGTCTTCCGAGTAGCTTCAAAGTTGTACATTATTATTGAACTTCTTAAGCATATTTCAAAGCAACAATGACTGTGGGCCCAGGTGACTGTTAACACTGTTGGCGGAGGAGAACGGGGCAAGGCCCATTCTGAGTTCTGCCCCCAGCCACAGTAGAAGCCAGGCTGTGTCCTGGTGCTGCGGGAATGTTCCAGAGTAACTGTCAACTGTAAGTCTGTAGGGCTATACCAGGTGCAGCCACATCATTAGGTATGTAACAGGACAATAAAAATAAATAGGGCATACAAAATTCCAACTCATGCTGAGTTTTAACTACCACAATTTCAATGATGTTGTAAAGGTACGTGATTTCACTCTAAGAATATATGACACAATTAGCTGTAACTTCTATGACTAAAGTCAGACAACAAAATATGTATATACTATTTATGCAAGAGATTCAAATAACTTGTCTTCCAACACTGGTTGCCAGGCACATGAAGACAGGGGTCTCTCTCTTATTATGGAAACAAAGTTGGCATTTGATGAAGAGGAAAACTTCAATATTAGCTAATGGCTAACAAACACTTTTTTTTTTTTTTTTTAATAAATCAAATTAACCAAGAGACTGTGCCCTGCCTTGAAAAGTTCAGCTAGTCCCATTACTGATTCCCACATATCCTCTAGGGCATTTGTGGGAGCAGCTTGCATGACTTCATGGCTGAAGGACCTTACACTCCATTGCTAAGGCAAGCAAGCAAAAGTTACTATTAGGTCTAATGAGCCACCTTGGTTTCTTCCAGAAGTTTTCCCAAGTCCTCCGCACCCAAAGAAGGCTTCACGACAGGAACTTGCTTTGCTGTTTCTTTTATCCAGGACTTCAGTGACTGAACAAGGACCTGGAAAGCACTCAGCTGCTCCTGGCAAGAACTGATAGCATCTTTTCTAGTGAACAAAGGCAAACCAGAAGTTAGGCTGCAGAATCAAATTCTTCAAAAGGCCAGTTCCTAACCAATGGCCATTATTCCCAAGTTTATTAACCAATGGTCATTATGCTCGACTTTATCATCTTCCTTTGATGCACAGAACATCTCAGACTCTGCTCATGGGACCAATGACTTCAGGTGAGTAACTATCATTGATTCTTTAAGCAAAGCTATAGTCAAAGAGAAAAAAAAAATCTAACCCACACAGAAAAATACTCTAGCAACCAACATGGATACGCTGTTGACCCGAGGAGACCATAGGTCATGTTAGTGGATGACTTAACCCTGGAGTGATGACACCTCTCTCTACCTCTCCAAAGAGATGTAACTCAGTGATGGGAATTTTAACAGGTGCTTCTTCACCCCAAAGCACAGGTAGTTCCATTGTAAACTCTACGGGTCTTTCTTTATGCCAAGCACATGACCTATGAGCACCGTCACACTTGACACATGGATGAGTCCTGTGCACACGTGACTCTGGATGCTGGAGATGAAGATGTAGTACAATTGGATTGATTACTGATGACTACACAGCTTTAATGTTTTAATGGTCTAGATATTACCTAAGTTTAAAAACTGGAACAGTTAACCTAGATTGTGTATGAAAGCCAAGAATATTTCTTCTGTGAGAAGTTTCAGAAACAGAACATCGAAGTTTTAGGTAGAGAATTCTGAGGAAATATAACCAGATGAGCAAGAAATGACCATTCTAAAACATCTTTTGGGGGGCTCTTCCATATAAACATCATAAAAATCAGTGCGTGTTCTAATAACGAGACAGGAAATGGAAAGATGCAGCCGCCAGGGCTCATTCCTGCATAGACTCACAGGTCAAACTGGGCCTCTGCCTTGTTCGTCATGGATTTGTGGCCCACTCACTCATTAGAAAAGTAAGCTGGTACATTAAAAGGGCTATAAAGAACATACTGAAACTATCCATAACTTCCGAACTGAGTCCCCAAAGCAAAAACCGCTGCCTTTCTGGGTTATTTATGTTTCTGCAGACAGAAAGGCAATATTCGCCAAAGGAAGCGTAGGCCCCAGTGAGCCGAACCATTTCAGGAACATGCCATCAGCACCACTGTGCTAACACAGCACCCACTTTTACACAAGCAGTGTTCAGCTTCCCACCTATTTTAGCAAATAGTAACCTGATGTTTTTGCTGTTGTGTTTTGCTTCTTAAGTCCAGATTAGGGCCTCAAACTCTCTGTGATCCTGCCTCAGCCTCCTGCATACATTTAATGCACAAGTACAGCAACTGTCTGAGGCCACACATTTTGGAAACCACCCCAGTCACATACTTAACATAAATGAAAGCAACTTAGCTACTGAGTGCCACCCGGTAGGAGAAAACGCATTTCGAATGAGGTGCTTACTTTTCTTGGATAGTATCCTCCAGTTCCTTGAATTTCTTTGACAAGTTATTTGTTTTTTCAAACACTAGGGCTTTGTCCCCTGGTAAGCCGTGGCTGGATATCTCCTTCAGGAGGCTGTGCAAAGCTTCGAGATCTTTCTTGTGTTCTAAGAATTTAGTAGTGGACTCCTGCAAAGCAATGACATCAGTTAGTGTAAATGTTGCTGGATCGTAGAATTGCACTTCACCAGAGGTGTGTAGAGAAGAGTACCTCTGGCTGGGGTTTCACGGAGGACATCCAGTGCTTAGCACTCCACAGACTATGAATGCCCAGCTAGGACACAGTGAACGGAACACTACAGTTTTGCTTCTCCGTGATTTCGTCATGCACAGTGACACTTGTAACGGCTATGATATGTATGGCCAATGGTTTACTTCTACCATTGAAGGCAAATGCTTCAAGGAGAAATAGTATGAACTATTTCTTAGAATGACAACTGCTAGGTAGACTCGTGTGTGAACTTGTCTTAACCGGTCCACATGCTAGGTGGGCATTGTGGCTACGGAGGAGTACACACCTGCATGTTCTGAGACAGCTCGTGAACGTCTTTTCCTGGCATGTCCGCCTCAGTGAGTGCCTGCCTCTGCGTCTCCAGAAACACCTGGAGCTTTTCTGAGAGTTTTTCAAACTCCTCTACTTTGGCCTTCAGCCCCACCATCTTGGCAAGCTTTTCCTTATGTTTCTGACTCGCTTCGGAAAACCGAGCAGACAGCTCCTTCATTTTCGCTTGCAGTGTGGATGCAGTGGAAGGGTCTGTCGTCTCCATAAATGTCTTCACCTTTTCATTCATGGCATTTACACTGCTCTGACGACCTGCAATGTCCTGTTCCAACATCTGAAACACAGCAATTATTGTATGTGCTTTCTTTCTTTCTTTTTTCCTTCCTTTCCTTTCCTTCCTTCCCCTTTTTTCTTTCCCTTCCTTTTCTTTTTAAAATTTTTTTTGGAGACAGGGTTTCTCTGTGTAACTCTGTAGATCAGGCTGGCCTCACACTCACATAGATCCACCTGCCTCTGCCTCCTGAGTGCTGTGATTTAAGGTGTGCACCACCACCGCCCGGCTGTATGTGCTTTCTAATGATGTCTATAAATAACGCCAAAGGGTTTTGAAAATGACTCTTCAGGGCACCGTAAGCTTGAACAACCTGTGCCTAACAAGGCTAACAGTTGGAAATGAGTGACATGTTTGATTTTTCCTTGGTGAAGCCAATCCCAAAGCCCTTTAAGGGAGTGTGGAGAACAGCTGGCTGGCTGCGTGAAGAACGCAGGGGGTTGTTGCTACTCAGCAACCCCTGGGATCTAAGGCAGCCCAGGGATTAGCCATGCTCTTAATTTTTAAAAGGATTGGCAACAGCAAGATTGATCTGATGAACCCCACGAGCCGCTGGCTGAAGTAATGATAAATGAGATACGATACAGTGTAGGTTGAAACCCTCCCTAATGAATAATGAAACGTACACCTTTCTAAGTTACATCACAAAAATCATTTACACATTTGTTTGTACAAGCACCGCTAGCTACTCGGTGTGTTCAGAAGCATCCCTTTCCCCTGTCTTTAAGCCTACTTATTCCCGAAGATGAATAACTCGTTTTCAACTGCAAGCGGAATTCCTTCCTCTACAAGAGGTCACTCACAATGTCTTTACTGATGAGATCCTGAAGAGCGGCAGAGTTTAAGGGCACTTGACCTTGCTTGACCAGCGAGCTTTCTACACTCCCCATCCAGTCCAGCATCTCATCTAGGCCGTCCTGCACACTCAGTGAGCGGGTCAGTGTGATCTGAAGCTTCTCATTCCGTTCATTCACGGACTTGGACAGGTCATCGTACCTCCCTACAATGTCATCTGTTCCACACAGAGAGGGGACCAGTGAGCACCAAGTTCTGCTTGCTCAGTCCTTTTCAAATGCACTCCTAATTTACAATCAGCTTTACACACACACACACACACACACACACACACACACACACACACACTCAAGTGATGCATTTCCAGTGAATGTCTATAACTTTTTATAAAGACACAAACTGAGTGGGAAATGAAATAGCAAAAAAAGAGTAATTTCCCCTGCCTACCATTTGCATCTGGAAAGATCTTTAGAGGCATAAACATTTGACGTGTGTCAGAGAGATGAAAGCATGGTCTAAACAGTGGGTCACCGCAATCACCCTCATGCATATACGGCTGGTGTATCAGTATTTATTGATAACTATCTGGGGTTGTGTGAGTGACAGTCACAGACAACTCCTCTCCAGAGACAACATTCTGTCACACACACACACACACACACACACACACACACACACACACACACACACACACACACACGTTCAGCTTTTGTCATAATCAGAGAGAGGCTTCAAATACGCAGAAGATGCAAATACATTAAGAAAACAGGGTAACAGTGTAAATCCACTTAAAGCTATGATTGTACTTCTAAAATATAAACAACGGAACTCACAAGTTTAACAGTAGGCAAAAGGCAAAAATGAGTTACCAGGACAACTTATTTCCCGTGATATAAACTTTACTTTCAATTCTAAAGATTTAAGGTGAAAAAAAGAAAGAAAAAGAGAAAAGTACTACCTTCCTGCCTAATTTTCTCTGGAATACAAAATGCTGTATTTTGACATTTGACATTCTACACTGTGGGCCAGTGACCCGTTCAAAGAAAAGGGCTACTAATTGTCTTTCTCTGGAAAATTGTGTGTTTTTTTTTTTTAAATCATGATTTTAGAAACTCATTTATTATACAAAAAAAGCATTTCCGTTCCTTCTGAATGTTTTAGAAGACCACAATGTAGGACACAGCATGAGAAGCTGTGGTCTAAACAGCTCTACAGGTGAGTTCCCTTACATGGCCTGTGGCGCATGATTAAACAGCAAAATAATTTCTTCTAAGCTGTAGTAATGCTACAGCATGCGAACACAGGTTAACAAATTGTCACTGAATTTGAGAGTTTACATGACGAGACACAACCAGGGCCCTGTTGCTAAGATACAATGAACCTGAAGAGAATGCGTATAGAGAGAAGGACTGCATTTAATAAGCATCAGGATGCTACCAGCAGAGGACTCAAGTGCCAAATTCAAGGATGACCCCCAACTAAGAGTCCCGAGAGGAGTCACTTAAAATGTCCTCGCTTGTGATCCGCAGTGGAGCTGTTCTCAGGGGACAGTGCTTACGCAGTTTAGTCATGACTTGTGACTTCCCATGCTAAATCAATGAGCTGCTTTCAAAAATTTAATACATTGTGGGTGCCAGCCACTGTTAGCTATGGACTGCATGTCTGTGACCCTTGACATCCCCTCCCCCGTCCCCGCCAACCCCTCCCCCCCACGTATGTAGGTCTAAGGCATAAAATGGTGGTATCTGGAGATGAGGACTTTGGATCCCACATGTGTGTACGTATATTATTTGATCAGTTCCTTGCATAAAATTTTAATGCAGTGTAATTCCTAAGCAATAAAAAGTATTAGAAAAATCTTTGTTGTGGTGTTTGTCTCTCAGCCCCAGTAACACAGTGTTTTAAGTTGTTTAGCAAATCATTCATGAGTTCAAGGGGAGCCTGGGATCCACAGCAAGCCCTTGTTATTTGTTACTCCTGTTTTAATCAATGAAGAGCCCAAAATATATATATTTTAAAAGCTACTGTTTTTCTTAGAAATTAAAAAAAAGAACTTATAGAAATATGTCTGTATTCTAAGTAGTTTCACACATTCCTAGAAAATGATGTCAATAGAAGTTCCAAAGCATTGATGTAATTGATGAAATAATGAACACTTCATACCAGGGAAAGCCAGGCATGGCAGCTCATGCCTGAAGTCTAGCATTCAGGGGGCTAACACAGGAGTACTAGCTTGAGTTCAAGACTAGCTTGGGCTGCACAGTGAGTCTCCAGCCAACCTGGGCTACAGAGCAAGATCTTGTCTTAAAAAGGCAAAAACAAACAAACAAAAAATAAACCATAACAAAAACAAAACAACAAAACCTCACAGATATTCAAAAAGATACGAAAGACATCCAAATGCCTTTTCAAATGAAGAAACACAGCTAAGGCAGCCTTTCTGCTTCACATCTTCAGGTTCAGATTCCTACGGTGATGGTCTCTGTGAATGCTTTCTCCTTAAGTATAAAATGTGTCCACTTTGAATGCACTCGTGAGGTAGGAAATGAGCTAAGATCTTACCCAGGGTCTTCTGGATGTCATTCTTGGCCGGAAGCAGCGAGCCCTTGGCATCCAGGAGCACTTCTGCGGTTTTTTTCAGCTTCTCTACGGCAACCTGCTGACTTGATATCTGCCCTTGCAAAGCCTGTGGGATTAACAGATTCCCAATAAGGAAAAAAATTGATGAGCTGGATAGAATAAACTATACAGCATGAACTTTCATCATCGAGCTTATTCTGGACTTCTGAGAGTGAAGCCATTCCAGAGCGGCAACCAACCAATCTAGATGTCGAGCGCTGACAAACGAGTAAGGGCTCTCCACGGTCTTTCTACTAGCAGCTTGTAACCCCACTACTGTTTCCCCCTAATTTCCACTTTGATCTTAGTTTCTCCAACACCCCTACCACCAAACCCCAACACCACCAACAGAACTAAAAACTAAAGAACCCGGGACTATTTCTGACTCCCGATCTTGATTGACTTCATGTTGTGCCATCCGCATGTATTTAATTCAGTAAGTTACTGAGCATCTAAAACTTCAAAAAGCTTTGCTACATTCTGTAGGGAAAAAAAAGGTATTACCAAGCTGACAGCAAGGGCTATACTGCAAAGGTCAGAGGAGATGCTAGTGGCAGGTGAGACAGAGCAGGAGCATCACGGATGTGAGGACCGCTCAGTGGTGATGATGCTGGGCCTGAATCAACGGCAGAAATGAAAAAGCAGCCTACTCCTCCACAGAACAAACAGAAAGTACAGAAATAGCCCAGTGAGAAGAGGGGGAGAGAAAGAGAGAAAATGAATATGATAATGAGTGAATAAATATGGCTGCAAAAGCTTCAAATGTTAGGTTAAGGGCTTGACATTCCGTCTGTAGCAATGGGGAATTATTGAAGGCTTTGAATGCTAAGTAAAGGCTTACAGCAATGCAAGAAAAACAAACAAACAAAAAACCGAGAAAGAAACGAAGTGAGAAATAAAACTGGGAGTAACGTAAGCCAGAACAAGGCAGCCAGGACTTTACCAAGGTCTGAGGCACTCCCTCTCCTCAGATGGTCTGGACCACAAAGTTCCGTACAGTACAGGGATGGGAAGAGCCAAAAGGACCTGTTCACATTATCTGAAGCCATAACACTTAGCATAGTATGACTTACTACAGGTGAACTTTATGCCAAAATCAAAGCAAAAATTAACTCAGCTGTATTAGCCACGTTTCCTCGGCGAGTAAGGCTATGCTGCTGGACAGCTGATTGGTCTAATAAAAAGCTGAATGGTCAACAGCTAGGCAGAGGCAGGATGGGCGAGGCTGGTGGACAGAGAGACTAAATAGGAGAACGAGAGGAAGAAGAAGAGAGAGGAGAATGGGGGAGGAAGAGAGGGACATGCCCAGGGACAGAACTTTCCTGGTGCCCACTACAGAGCGGTGACAAGCAATGCTCTTGCTCCAGAAGGCTGTGCCTGCCCACTCCGCACCTCCATACCTTTTTCCTTGGCTCTCAACCCTGAGAGCCTTTGCAGCAAACTGACACGACCCGTTCTGTCTCAGGGACAGAGATGTTCTAGAGACATCTGTGGCTTTCCTTTCAGTTATGAGAGACTATTAAAACAACTGGCCCCCAAGAATTGGAATTTCCCCAGGAATCTCATGCTGGGAGAAGGAAGAGACTAGGGTCAAGAGGCGAGTCAAGCTCTTTTTCGTGGCGCCTCCTAGGCGGTCGGCTGTGCGAAGATGAAGCTGAATATCTCCTTCCCCGCCACCGGCTGCCAGAAGCTCATCGAAGTGGACGATGAGCGCAAGCTTCGTACGTTCTATGAGAAGCGCATGGCCACAGAAGTAGCAGCTGATGCTCTGGGTGAAGAGTGGAAGGGTTACGTGGTCCGAATCAGTGGTGGGAATGACAAACAAGGTTTTCCCATGAAGCAAGGTGTTTTGACCCATGGCAGAGTGCGCCTGCTGTTAAGTAAGGGGCATTCATGTTATAGACCAAGGAGAACTGGAGAGAGGAAGCGCAAGTCTGTTCGAGGATGCATCGTGGATGCCAATCTGAGTGTTCTCAACTTGGTCATAGTAAAAAAAGGAGAGAAGGATATTCCTGGACTGACAGATACTACTGTTCCTCGTCGGTTGGGACCTAAAAGAGCTAGCAGAATCCGAAAGCTTTTTAATCTCTCTAAAGAAGATGATGTCCGCCAATATGTCGTGAGAAAGCCTTTAAACAAAGAAGGTAAGAAGCCCAGGACCAAAGCACCCAAGATTCAGCGTCTTGTTACTCCACGTGTCCTGCAACACAAACGCCGTCGTATTGCTCTGAAGAAACAACGTACAAAGAAAAACAAGGAGGAGGCTGCAGAATATGCTAAACTTTTGGCCAAGAGAATGAAGGAAGCAAAAGAAAAGCGCCAGGAACAGATCGCCAAAAGACGTAGGCTGTCCTCTCTGAGAGCTTCTACTTCCAAATCTGAGTCCAGTCAAAAATAAGTCTTTAAGGGTAACAAATAAATAATCATACATTGAAAAAAAAAAAAAAAAAAAAAAAAAAAAAAAAAAAAAGAGGCGAGTCAAGAGACTGAAGCTAAGACAAAGATGGGCCAATGACGGGCAAGACCACGCCCTATGCCTAGCCATGCATAACACTTGCCTTCCATTAAACTCAACCCTCGGGTCAAGACCACGAAGACAGGCTTCTGTGTTTCCCTTCTGAATGTGGCCAGACTGAACATATGTCTCCTCTCTGCTTCCATCATCTCCTGGCTCTATAACTGGCCTAGCGAAGGTGGCCAAGCCTAGCTTCTTAAGGCTGCCAAGGCTCAGGCTCTGACCCTAGCAACTCCAGGGAGTACCCTTCCCTGTTAAAATAAGGCATTTCTAGATCAATGAAACGTTTAAACTTAATTTTTTTTTTTATCTTATCATACTGAGGAAGAATAAAGTGCTTTAAAAAAAATGTACATCCTTACTTAAAAATCTTTAAAAATACACTTGGGTTTTGAAAAATAGAGACTAACTCGACAGTTTGTCAGACCGGGAGCTGGCAATCCTGTACTTGTGATGTCAAACCTGTGTTTCTGAAAAGGCAGGAAGGCACTGTGTGATAAGGCATGCACAGTAACTGAAGTCTGTACCTCTACCCACCATGGGGGAACACTACAGATCTCAACAGTGACTGAGACACTACAGTAACATTCTTCTACATGTCACTCTTGAACAAATGCTCACTGTGCACGTTGGCCCAGGTGATCCTGTGGCTCTCGACCTCCCTAATGCTGTGACCCTTGACCTCCCTAATGCTGTGACCCTTGACCTCCCTAATGCTGTGACCCTTGGTCACACGGTGTGGTGCCTCCCCAACCATAAGACTGTTTTCATTACTACTTCGTAACTGCAATGTAGCTACTGCTATAATCATTCTATAAATGTCATCTGATATGCAGGCGGCCTTGGGTGACCCTGTGAAAGGGCTGTTCTTCCCCCAAAGGAGTCAGGACTCGGAGGTTTGAGAACTGCTGATCTACATACGGGGATTATGGCGGTGAAAAACACAGATACAAACACCTGCCTTCACAGAGTTTAACTCTAATGGAAAAGGGGGGAAATTAAGAAATGTAACAGTAAGTAAGTGGGCTGGTGTTGTGGGGGGGGGGAGGCAGGCAACAACAGCAATGTCAAACCAGTTCAGTAGAAGTGGGACAAAGGCCACGGGAACCCTCTGGAGGGACAGAGCAGTGTCCACGCTGGCCCAGAGTAAAAGGCTCGCACACACAGGCGTCAACGGGACTACTGGGGGGCGGTTTCTCCTTCCCTCCCGCCTCCTCCTTTACCTTGCTCTCCTCTAACTGCCTTTGCAGGTTTTTGGGGTCCACAGCAATGGGCTCGAGGAGATGTTTGCTTGCTTTGGCCTCGCAGGCCTGCAGCCCGGAAAGAAGCCCGCACGAAGCATCTTCATAGTGCTGGTACTTGTCCACCAGATCTTTCAGGTTATTTCCAAGAACACTGCACTAAAAAAACGAAGAAGGGATGGGAAGGGAGACCAAAAACACAGTCTGTCTTTCTTTCCTTCACAGAACATTCATCATCAATACACACTAGTAATTAATAACGAGAACACAGTGATCAAATACATCCGTAGGACAGACAAACAGTTGTGTAATATATTTGAAGGGAATTATCCTACATGGAACTTCAGCTGGAAGACCAGGGGTTGAGCCCCTCCTTCTGCTTAGTTCACATCCTCCATCTGGTGGTCACATTTGGTACTGCATAATTTGAGAACACAAACTTCTGGTAGACCTCTCTCAAAGCTAAGTAACTTGAAGTTGCTATTCTTTAAGAGGCATTTTTTCAGAAGCAAGGGAGATGAATAAAACTATTTCTCATCTATCTATCTATCTATCTATCTATCTATCTATCTATCTATCTATCTATCTATATCCATCCATCCATCCATCCATTTATCATCTATATCCTAAATCTAAAGCAAAAGTGAAGAGTGCAGATTTAAGAATATACCACCAACTGATCTCTACTCAAAAAACCAAAAGGAAAGTAAAATTACCTTGGAGTAGAGAGATCGGAAGCGGTGTGTAGCCTGGTCCAGTTTAGTCTGCACCTCTCTGTGGGTTGCAGAAGTATCGATGTTGTCCTTGTCCACCCTGCTGCCGTCTCTCTTGCCGCAAGATTTGGCAGCTTCTAACACCCTGTTTCCAGAAATGGTGATGTACCTCAAGTCGCCTTTGTGTGAGATGACATCTTCTGAGAAACTCTTCTGCCGCGTCAGCTTGTCCGTTAAGCCAGTGAGGTCGTCTGCGCCCGCCTCCAGGTTCTGCAGCTCTTGCTCTGACTGCTGCAGCCAAAGCTCAAACTCACTGCAGTCGGCATCGAACTTCTCCAGCTCTTCCTGCAAGGAGTGCGTCAGCTTCACCTTCTTCTCAGCCTCGGCCAGCACCGTCTCATAATGCGCTTTCAGCTCCTGCATGTCCGCCTGCAGCTTCTGCTTTTCTTTGGGGGAGAGATGGTGGCCCTGTTTCTCGAGCAGCGCCTGCGCAGACTGCGTGGCTATGATGACCGCCTGGTGCTGAGCCATGATCTTTTCGTGCTGGGCCTGTGTGGAAACAAGCCAATTGCAATGTCAGAGCTGCCCGCTTCCAGAACCCAACATACTTGTGAATTTGCTTCTCAAGTCCTCTTACTGGTTAATTTAGGGACAGGGAGACAAGAACAGCATATTGGAGTCCAACAGAACCGAAGGGAGAGCACGGGACACATCTGGTCCCACCGTGAACATGGAGGCGGTGACCCCAATGTGTCACAGATTTGCTTTAAGGACCATCTCAGCTCATACACAAAGAATTCCTCCAGAACGTGGATCACACTAGGTGCTCATGCCTACTCCGGGGCAGGAAGTGGGGTGGCCAAGGCGTCAAGGGTATACAGAGCCACCTAGGGTCTCTACTTCAGAGAGCGCGTTGGCCTTAGCCGCGTCAAGTTCCTTCCTCTCCATCTATAAGAAGTTTCTTCAAATATGCTTTCCAAATATGGCAAGTAAACGCTCCTAACCAGTTGAGCTGGTTTCTCAGTTCAACGGCTAACACAGGACTGATCTGGTTAACACCACAGGGCTCTTTCTACTACACCTGGTTTCCGCTTGGCCCTGCCTCTATCCCCATGCCACCCGCCTGGGTCCGGACACGGGTACAACTTTTTTCCCCTTCTGTTTTTGCTTGGTGACAGCTATTTCTAAAGACACCTACACAGCTGCCTCTATCCCCTTTAAATATCTGCATAAACCTCATCAACACGGTTTTATCTTAACTACTTGATTTCAACTCTCAAATCACTAAATTACTCTTGACCAACTCATTAAGACTTCTCTCCCTCAGCACTTACTACTTTCCACCAAACCATGTAACTCAGTTATCATGCGCTGTGCTGTCCTCTCCTTGGTAGGCAAGTGCCAGGACGGAATCCCAAGCCCCTAGAGCAGTGCTGACACCCGGGCACAATGACAGTATTGGCAGTGAAATGACAAGGGAGAGGACAGGCCCTGCTCACAAGCCAACACCTTATGTACTGCTGACAAATAGTTTTGTTCAAACAATTTTCTTCCACAAATTTGGCCTTTGGCATTTGAAACATCTCCACATGCTCCTCCCCAGCCGGGCTTCGCATCTGATGGGATGGACATACAGAATACCTTACATCGTCAGATCAGCATCCTTCCTTTTCTATAAGGAATCCCAGGCTGGATGGAGGAGAGGGGCTTGGCTGACCTGGGGCCCTGCACAGCTGCAGAGGGCTGGCATCACTAACGGGCCCTATGGCTATGGCCCCACTCAGACAACCGATTGGCTCTTAAGGCTTCTCAGTCACAGAAGTAAAAATCTGGGAAGGAAAAGGCCATGCTATGGTCTGAAGCAATGGCTGGTTTAGGTGACTTCTTCATATCCACGTACACTCACTGATAGTTTTTATGACTTTGGTTAAGTTACTACCTTTTCACGACCTTTTTTTGTCATAACTCATAAACTTCCTTCAAGACTTTGTTCTTCTTAGTTTTTTTTTTCAAAAAACAAACAAACAAACAAAAAACAGTAGCAGTGAGACCCCATCCCTGAGCTTTTGGAAAGTGTGATCAGTTGGACGCTCCCACCCTTTGGCATGTTGTATCTCCTAAACAATCTCACAGAGGAGACCCCACTGGATTCCAGGAGAGTTCGCAGACTGTGCAAGAGCCTCTCAAACATAGTCATGGGGCACTGACATCTAGGACAGACACAAAAAACATCAACTCGGGGCGCTACCCAACACCACCTTTGCTCTTGCAGTGGCATGAATGACAGCCTCCATGGCTGCCAAGCCCTGGCTTTCATTCTCCACAGTGGCTTGCACTGCCTCAGAGGCTCAGCTTGGAATGGATGTGCGCTCAGGACTGCACAAGCAAACCATTCTGCAAACATGCACTGGAGAGATCCGCAGAGTGACCAAAACTGTGGCCAAGGTTAAAGCCAAACTCTAGCTTTATCCACTGCATGTGCAACCCGGGCAAGCCACTTTACGTATTTAAATGACAACTGTCTTATAAAATGGAAATTTATAAGGAGTAGCCAGGAAGACTAAATGGAGTGACTCAGGAAGAGGCAGGAGGAGCGCTGGCCACTGTCGCCGTTCCGGAGAGGTCAACTCCCAGATTCATTCGCTAAGATATGCATATATGTCTGTTATGGATGGCCTTGGAGGCCAGCTGGAGTCACAGGCAGTGTTTAGTTGCCCGGTGTGGGTGCTGGGAACCAAACTTAGATCCTTAGCAAGGCTAGCAATTGTCCTTCACCAATGAGCCAACTCTGCAGCCCTTTCATTTCTTAGCCAGGCCTTCACCTGTACATAGAAGCCACTTCTCATGGCACACAGTGAGCCTGGGGGAGGGAAAGTCTTGACTCTCTGTTGTTGTGTAAAGCTGTCTGTCTCTTTCTTGACCTACTCATAGACTCTGACGACAGCACCGTTTAAACAGCACACACCTTGACTCTCTGGTACTGCTGGTTCAGATTCTCCTCCGTGGCCCCTCTGCGCCCTTCAGCATCTGTCTCCATCAGGTTGCCATTGACTTCATCCTCTTCACCAGCGACTGACTTGCCGTCACCTTCGTGCACATGGGTTCCGTTCTGCTCCGTCCCTTGCGTGTGCTCCATCCCTGCCCTCCCCGAGTCTTTCTCAATATCCGACAACCAGTCCATAAGGGTTTCTATTTTGGTTCGGCTCTCTTCCAGCTGCTTCACGGCTACAACCTGCGTAGGGAAGGTTCGCAAGTATCACGGACACAGCCTAGGTTTAGCACATTGGAAAAATATTTAAGTAATCCTAACATTTAAAAAACAAACACATATTGGAAACATACGGTTATTAAACCTTAAAGCGACAAGCAGACACTCTGGGTCTACACCACCTTCAAACATTTTATTTTGAATTTTGAACTATAGTTGAAAGCACTTTTCACATCCAAAGTCTCTCAACCTGCTTCTACTTAAGGAGAGATGAAGCAAAGCCAATTCTTCCAATCTTTGTATTTGGCAATTATGTACCCACATTCCCAGCATTTTGAGTGCTAAGGGCTGCTCCCCAACTGATACACTTGATCCAAGCAAGCAGCTACTGTGTTGTGTTAATTATTAGCAAAGCAACAGTGTACCCACACACTTGGACACGCACCTTTTCAGCCTCTTCCCTGATGGCTGACGTCACTGCTTTATCCAGCTCCTTTTTTGACTGCTCCGCCTTTAAGTTCAGCTGTTCACACTTTATCTTTGCCTCGTTTAGTTTCTGCTCAATCAAAGCTTTATCTTCCTGGGAGAGCTCTTCGCCGCTCTCCTTTAGAAAGATTTCCGTGTTTCTCATTATTTCTGCCAATGCCTGTGTACTTCCTTGCATATCTCTCTGTAATTCCTTAAGACATACACGAGAAAAATGTGTAAGAGTATTTGTGAGACATTAAAAATATTGAGGGGCAGCATATGAACTGTACAGGTTTGTATGACATGTATATGGACACACAACGTAACTTTGTGGTGATATTTCCTCTATTTCTAAACACTGATGCATTTTTTTTTTTTTTTTTTTTTTTTTTTAGGCTGGATCTCACCACGTGGCCCAGGGAGGGCCTCCCAAGGGCCATGCTTACAGGCACACACTACCCCACACTCTACGGAACCCTGATTTTATTATAAACCTATTGCTCAGGAAAGAGGAAAATAGCTCCATCAGTGAATGGCGATGTTTTCTTTTTCTCACACCAGGTTATACATGATATAGTGATTTTTGTTTGTTTTATTTTTTCGAGACAGGGTTTCTCTGTGTAACTCTGGCTGTCCTGGAACTCACACTGTAGACCAGGCTGACCTCGAACTCAGAGATCTGCCTGCCTTTGCCCGCCAAGTTCTGGGATTAACGACACCACACCACTGCCGGGCACGATTTGTGTTTGCATCTTAGCCCTGGCTATTAGGACACTTGAGAGGGAGCTCTTCTCTTGGGGGTGAGGGTGGGGGGAAGGTTTGTCTGGGAAGTGGAAATTCCCATGTGATATTTCCTCTTAAAAACAACGGGGTCCTGTTTTATGCATTTTCTCCCTTTATAATACACCACCCTCTATCTTGCGGTCCCTCCAGCGTGTGTGTGTGTGACTTGCATGAAAGCCTGTGTATAAGGAACTGTGGCAGTGACTTGATTCATATTCACTCGGCTTTCATGGCAAAGTAGCACGAGAAGCTCCCTTAGAACTTACTGAAGGGACCCGAGACCCAGAGGTATGACTGACACTGGGTTTGAACCCAGAGCTACATGTAACGAGGCGCTCTTTCTCCTGCTGACACCCTAACACAGGCTTTCCTTATCTGACATTTTTGTTATTTCATCTCTTTCCCTTCTAAGATTAAAAAGTTACACATTACAGGAAAGACCAGAGGGACAGGAAGAGAGAGTGAGTGCTGAGAAAAAGCTATTTCTCCCGATCTGTCAGTGAGTCGGCGGCCACAAAGGGGCTCGCACTGTAATGTGTCAATTACCCCCTTGATGAAGTATGCCACCGAAAAGTCACGACAATGACCTGGCCTGCTTTAAATGTGTATCTGGCTTTCAGTACAAAGTGTAAAGCTCTTTTTCTCAGGGTCTCTGGGAATGCCTTGCTTCTGATATACCTGGTAGGTTTTCGGGCACCGTAACCAAACATAAAAGGGATGGACAGCTGCTGACAGCAAAGGTCTACCTCTTGCTTGGTCTGACACTTCTTTAATTCCTCGGTACCATCTCCAATCACAAAGGCTTCTTGGTGACTAATCAGGCGGTTTTCTGTCTGGGTGAGCAGATCACACAGACCTTGAAGCGTCTCTTTGCACTCCTGCTGACGTTCTGCCACAACCTGAGACGGAGAAAACCCCAAACACCTTCAATGGGTGACCTTCAAACCACTTCCGAGCAAGCCTCTTATCAGAATACACGTTCCAAACACCCTCCACTAGCGTTTTAAGTATGCTGTAAACATGGTAGCATCGGAGTGTAAACCGAGCAAAGACAGACAAGAGCGTAGAGTATGAGCGTGTCCCCATGTACAACGGAAAAAGCCTGTTTGGGCAAAGTTGCTCAGTACAATACTAGCCATGCATATGTGTAAGAGATGGAACCTCTGATGGACAGGAAGAAACATCCCATTTTCTTAAGCTCTTGAAACCTGCGACACACATAATTAATTCTGCAAAAGGACACCAAAAGAGAAGTTAGTTGTGATTTGTCAGTAAACATATGGATATGTATATACAGGTTATCATGCTACACACAATGCCCGGATGCTTCAAGAATAAAAGGAACGTTGCATGCATTACTTTTATCCCATCTTTATGTTCTTTGCTCACTACTGCCTGTAGGCAGTACTGAATTCATGGAATCTAAAAGATTAATAAGTCAAAACTTGTATTTTTACTTTCCCGTTCCTCCCACACACTTATTATCCAGTAAACACAGCTCATATTTACCAAAAGCTCAACATGGGTCAGGCACAGGGCTGTTTCTTACGATCATTTTATCAGTGCTCATAATATCACCAGATAAACACTAGTACTTCTAATTTACCAAAGTGACTTCACTAAGTCACTCAGAGCAGATAAAGTAGAGCATTTAGGACACAAACTTAGGCGATTCCGCTCTAGGCGAGTACCCCAAAGCACAAGCTCTGACTCTGGGCTCCCCTCCACTCCCTCCAGGGGAAATGATACTCTGAACCCGCAGAGAGAAACCTTCACTCCTGGACATTTCTGAATGTTAGATTCCAGTTCCCATTTCCGCGGAGAGAATAAAGATTCTCACCTAACAAGACGCCGTTAGAGAGCCATGGGAAGAGATCAATGGTATGAAAGGGCCAACGTGAAAAACTGCGCTGTGGTTCACTGCAGGGATTCTGACCTGTACCCACTCAGGCCCGCCCAGAGCACCTCCCTAGCAGACCATTATTTCTGGTTTCACACTGAACAAGTCAAATAACACAACTCCACAAGAAAGGCGGACCTTCTGATGACCGAGCTCCCGCTCTCGGTGTAAGCACATCTCTAACCGGCTCGCTTCGGAGGTTACCAGCTCCTGCACATCAAGAAAACCCTTCTGGGTTGCATTCAGGAGCCTCAGCAGTTGTCTGCTCTGGTTGGGGGACAGATCTTGTGCATGGTCAGAGATGAAGGACTGTATGGCAAAGGCTGCTGTCTCCAGCTGCACCTTGGTGTGTGTGAGGTCTCTTAGCACATCCTGGGAAAAAAGCAGTACAAGTGGTCATGGATGGTGGGTTCTAATGGAGAAGTTCAACAGCTTAGTCACAATACCGACTGCTTAAATATGCTCCTTCTATCAGCACTCGAAGGATTAATGACACCTTTTTCATAATACACGTGGTTTATAGGTGGGTGTGGGTGTGTGTGTTTGCGAGTGATGTATATGCATGTGTGTTGTGTGTGCCTGGGGACTGGTGTGGTTGTGTGTGGTGAGTGTGTGTGTGTGATGTATTTGCATGTGTGTGCCTGGGCACTTGTGTGTGTGTGTGTGTGTGATGTATGTGTGTGCCAGGACAGACTCAGGGGTTGGTTCTTGTCTTCTCCTTGCAAGACTGGGTTTTTCTTTCATTGTTCACCGCTTCCTGCAAGCCAGCTGGACCACAAGCTACCAGGGTTCTCCTATCCCTGCCTCCCATTGCCCTGCAGAAGCACCAGTGTTGTAGATGTGCATCGCCCCACCTGACTGAACATGGAATCTAGGATTCAAACTCAGATCCCCACACTTGCACACACAGGAAGTGTGGCAAGAGCTTTATACACTGAGCCATCGCTCCATCTCAATATCAAAGTATTTAAATATGACAGTAGCTAACATACAAAGATTTAAAAAAAAAAAAAAAACACCAAGAACATTCCATTTTTGTCCGGTAGATCATACTTAAAATGTAACTGACAAAACGAACAAAAAAACCCCCAAACAAAACAAAACAAAAAAAGAAGTTTCACTGATGGTAGTGAAAGGCAAATTAACACCACAAAGTAACTGCTAATATTTCCATTAGCCTTTCAATGGTGAAAATACATAGCAAGACCACAAAGAACACAAGATGTGAATTAAACACACTATAATTTTAGTTTTCTGATTCTGAGGCAAGGGACCCAAATGCGTTCATGGAGCATTGTAAAAAAAAAAAAAAAAATTCAGACCAAAATTAATTACCATATATATATGTATATACATATATACATATATATAATGTGTGTGTGTGTGTTCCTATACTTTGACTAACTTACAGCTATCTTGTGTGTATATAATTCATTTATAAAAAAAGACATAAACACAAATATCAGTTTGTCAGTGGTAGTAAGAATTTGGTATGGTGTACGGAATATGTTCTAGAGTTAGGTCAACTATGAAAAGACATCTCTCCAAGCCAAAGAGGCTAAGTCTCAGGAAGGCTCTTACACTAAATCTGTATGTCTTGTATGTACTCAGATACTTGCCTTAAGAAACTTCACACTTCTCTTTACAAGTTCGGTGTCTTGGATGTTCACAGTTTGAATATCTTTCACAGCTTTGCTTTTCTCTGATACCCACTCTGAATGTGATGTGAGTTTATGTAGGAAGCCTTCATGACAAACTTCGAGTTTAGACTAGAAAACAGAATTACACGTTCATTTCTGTTCGCCTCCCAAATTTCCAAATCCTACAGTGATTCTAAGAGTTGAGAACTCTAAAAATATAATACTTAAAAAAAAATACTTCAAAATATGGTTTAAATTCCCAATCATATTTTTTTTTTAACAGAATTCATCATTTATGCCTACCATTTCAGAGTCAATCGCAAGCATGATCAGCGTCTTTCTTTCTGAGGATACACTGCTGAGGGAGGAGAAGGCATTCTGTAAAGCTTCATGGCTTTTGCTCAGCTCCTCTCGGTGTGCTCTGAGAAGGTCACTAGGAAAAGACTTTAAGAACTCTTCTGCCAGCTTTAGATCTTTTCTTAAAAGCACAGCAACTGGAGCAAATCCCAACTCAAACGTCTGCAAAGAAATGTATTCCTCGTCTATTTTACTGCTCAGTAAACAGCACAAACCCACACACAAAACATAAGAGCAAAGCATTCCACCTTTTGCAAATTGTGCATGAAATGGTACCATCCGTGAACCGCCAGCCACTGCAGCTGGGATGTGGATACCTCCCAAGGCTGGTGCTTTGGCCCTTGGCTTGGTACTAAGGGGAGGACTAGAAACTTTAAGAAGCGGATTCAGTAAGAGGACTTCAGATCCCAGGGGCTGGGGGACTCTCAAAGGGAACAGAGGCTCTGTGGACTCCCTCTTCTGTCTTTCGGTTTGAGATGAGGAGCTGCCTTGCCACAAAGTTAAAAGTAACAGGACCAAGTGATCACAGGTCTAGAACCATGAACCCAAATAAACCTTTGGCTTAACTTGATTACCGATGGAAAGCTGACAGGCACAGTAGTAGATAACTCTTACCTCTAACTGCTTAAGCTGACTCTTCAAGGCTTCTAGACTGTTATCCTCAGATGGATGGCTGTCTAAGGGGGGTTTCATACCTCGAAGCAAAGCCAAGTATTCATGCATCTTCTCAGTGTGATGTAAACACTGTTGCAACTCATTGGAACACTAAAAACAAATTTGGGAACAGTAATTAGTAGCCTTTATGAAAAAATTTGAAAGGAAACAAAATGTATGAGGCTACCCTACATGCTTACTGCTGGGATAGTCCTGGAAAAAAATGCATATGCGGACTCACTTTTTCCATTGAGCTGTCATCAGAGGCCATTTCTTTTGATCCAGAAATACATTCTGAATGACCTGTAGGCTCACGGCATCGCTCTTCAAGATTCCCATCTCTCGCCAATGCTGCCATGTGCACAGTAGAGAGTTCTGCCTCCGTTTCTCTCTCAGTTTGTGGGTTCAGGGAACAGTGATTTCCTTCTTTGCCTTTAAGACCACTGCATGTGTATGGCTTTCCCCCCACCATCTTAGAAGCAGCACACGGTTTTTGATTCGAAGCTTGAGCCTGTTCTTTTTCAGTGGAAGACCCATCAAAAAGCAGCCTGTGAAAAGCATTTCTGAGTTGCGGTGGAAATAATTCAGACGCAATGCCTCTTCTCTCTGGATCACACTCCATTTGAGTTAACACTTTGATCAGCTCCCAAACACTTGGGGTTTCTTGGGTCTGCTGTTTTTGTTTCAGAATATCAAAAAGACCCTCAACACTGAGATGATCACCTCCACTCTCTGCCTTCAGTTCTGAGTTATTCCCGGGGGGAACGCCAGGACCAGGCATACCCGATACTTCATCCGGCAACTCAGACAGGATAACGCTTTCGATTAAGTTCTGAATTGAAGTTTTGGTGCCTGTGCAAGCTGAAGGGTCTCCCACTTCTTGGAGATTCATATGACTTTCTTCTAACATGCCTTTCAAGATGTCCTTTCTATCACCCACAAACGCCACAGGCCACTCAGGAGCATGACCCTCTCTCTCTTGGAGTCTTGCAGGTAAGGCTAGCTCTCTGTTTGGCTGTTTCTCAGAGTTTTTGCTCTCCCTGCTGCTCTCTGGCAGCGAGCAGCCCACATCTAAAGTGTTACTGGAGGTATTTTTCACTCCATTCGGATGGAGCTCGGACTGTACAAAACTGGCATTTCCTCCACCGTCCTGCACACTGTCACAGAGTGACAGTGTGGTGTCACTGTTTCCAGGAGTGAACTGAAGAATTCCCGGTTTTCCTTCTGAGATACTTTCTAGGGTACAGGTATCACTTTGCTGGATCTTAGCGCCAGTCTTCTGGGGGATGACTGGCGTTCCCTCTGCGTTACTTACTGTCCATAAATCATCCTTCTTGAGGGGAGAAACTACTGAGACACAGCTTGGGATGTTTTTATTTGGTTCTGGTGTATCCACTTTCATATGTTTATCACAGTGTTCTAAGGAAGTAAACGGACAACCCTCTTTCTCCAGGCCCTCTGTGAAGCAATCTCCTTCCACACGGCTCTTTACCTCAGAACATGCGACATCTGAAGCAAAGTAAGCACGAGTCACGTTAGAGACTGAGGTGTCAAATATTTCTGCAAGAGTCTCAAACGGAACGGGACTTTCACTCAGTTCCCTTGGCACACTCTTGGGTTCCTCTCCCAGAGTCACAGTTGCTGCTCTCGGGGCCCGTCTGTGACTAAGTTCCTCCGTGTTCGTCAGTAGAGGGGGAAACTGACTCTCAACCATGGTGAGGCTCTCTGCTGCATCAAGATAACTTTCTTCTTCTCCCGAGCCTTCCATCAAACCTTCTTCTTTACCCAAGCCCATTTCCCGAATGGATGTTTCATCTACCAGTGGATCGCTTTTGCCTTCTCTACCTGTAACCAGACCTCTTCCATTTCCTTGCCGACCCTTGTCACTTACTGTGGGTGACAACTGGCTTTCCTCAGATGGTCCTCCTATTAACTCAGTTTCAGAACAAATGATTTTATCTGAAGATGGATTGATTTTGGGTGTCACATTCTCAAGATGCCCATCTTCAGCTTTTAGAATGTTTGCAGATTCTGGCCCTTGAACCAGCTTGACTTTTGTGTTCATTACATCACTTTCTAATTCAGAAATCAAACCGGTATTGTTAGATAAAGTACTTTCAAAGCCAAAGATCTGTTCTGAGGTGTTGTTTTTAGCGTCATACAGTGACGCATCTTTAGCTGACATGTGATTAGACAGACTTAGTTCGTTTTCCTCATCGGCTTCAGTCGTAAGTTCTGGATGGTTGCTTCTTTCGGTGCCCTGACTTCTCATACCAGTTGATTCTGGCTGCAAAGCACTGGTGGGGTACGGCTTTTCTAAAGGACTGTAATGGCTCATTTTATCTAGGATAACTGTGTTACTGATACTTTGGCTTTCATCCTCACGTTCCTTTACACACTGGGCATCTTCCACTTGGTGCACGGGCTTTCCATTCTCATCTTCCTCTCCTCGTCCTCCTCCTTTGTCATCGCCATCTTCACTGCTGTAGTCCCCGCTATGAGTGTCATCGTAATCATCATCCGTGTCACTATCATCACATATAAAGTGCCCGTAACTTTCTCTGCTTTGCATGGAACCTACACGGTCAGTATCAGACTGACTTTCTTGGCTGATGTCACACTCTTCTCTTCTCCCTCTCCAACTATCATCTGAGCTCTCTTTCCTTCCTATAACTTCACCATCAGTCAATGAGTCAGAACCATTACTGTCAAGGTCACATGGGTTTCCCCTTTTGGATACAGGTTCCATTAACTGTTCGTTCATCTTGGCTGAGCCAACTGAATTTAACGGTTTCTGGTCAAGTAAATACAGTTCAGGTTTCTCCATACCTACAAGACATTCCTGAGAAGGAGGCATTGGGCTCTTCGCACTTAGGCTGTCAACCATTCCTCCTTGGGGGAACAAAGGATCGTTCTTCTCTTTTGAAACATCATACAAAATATCAACAAGGGGAGGGGTCCCATCATTTTCCTCCTGCAACACATCATAGTCCTCAGGATGCAAACAATCTTGGTCATCGCCTTGAAGAACCAGAGAATCATGGTCGTCATCCTCAAACAAGGGAGTGTCGTAAAAATAATCATCACTCTCAGAGTCTGTGTCAGTCTGATCAGCGAGCAGTGATGTCTCATAGTCACCAGCATCAATGGCTCCTTCATGAGCTAGTGTACCACAAATAGATGTGTCTGTGTTACAGGAACCATCCCCAGGGATCATGGTACGGGAATAATCTACCTCAGACCCACTTTTCTCATTCCCATCCGTTTGTTGAGTATTTTCACCCTCACCCGGAGCATCTGACAAGCACTCATCACCGTGACGTGGTATGTGAGGATTGCTACACCCAGTATCTAAACATTTCTGTTCACAGTGCTCCCCCAGGAAGCTGATGTTAATGGCTGCGATTCCCAGAAACTGGTCTTGGAATTTTTCTCTTGTACTTCGATCAGCTGACACACTTAGGTCATTGAACGACAAGGGAGAAGCTTCACATACATGTCCCATGTTCTGTGGGGTTTGTGTATCACTGAAACTTCCCTGACTGTGTCTCAACTCATCGTGACTTAGCAGGGCACTCAGCTGGGGGGAATAGTCAAAGACAGATGGGTCTTTCTGCATATTATCTTCATTCTCTCTTTCGTTGCAATCACAAAGACTACCAGTTTTTGATGTCAAAGAGTTACCTGCCGAATCATGAGTGATTTTAGAATGGTTACATTCATCTGGATGTGCCTTGGTTTCAAGCTCACTTTGATGTTTATGGTCTTTAAGAACGTCATCAGAATCATGTCTGCACATGCTCCCTTCTGCATATTCAGGCTGTATTGAATGTGATGTAGGTTTGGGGACACACACACTAGATGGACTACTGGCTTTATGAACAATTGCTGTTGTATTCGTTAGGTTTTCTGACCAACACAATTCACTACTGTTATCATTGTTTTCTGCTTTACAAAACTCTTCATGTACGGCCCACTCTCTGTTTTCAAGAGCCTCTTTATGCTCAGGCTGTCTGTAGGGACATTTATCAGAACCAGATGCTGAAGCCGAACACTCATCCTTTTCTTTACTTGAAGCACAATTAGGAAAGGTACCAGGGATGCTTAAGACAGAGAGACTTTCTTTTACAGAGGGGTCAGCTCCGAGTTCTTCACTGCAGCTTTCCAGGAGCATGCCCACAGCTTCGTCCAAGTCTCCATCGTAGAGCAAAAGCCTCTGCCCTGTGTTTGCATCCATGTAGCTGTTCACCATTAAATAAGATAGGAACAACTTTTTAGTTTGTTCTGAGCTCTGGACCGTGACTGGCTCTTCACCCTCAGAGCCACCCTCTTCTTGCCTATAATCATGAACTGTAGATGGCTGGAATTTACAAAAGGAGAGCCATCTCTTGGCATTTTTACAAGCTTCTAAATCTCCTAAGTCTGGCATCTTGTCTGGCAGCGTTATATTTTTTAAAATTGATGTTGTATTATTATCTATAATTCCCAGCTGCTTAGCAACATCCAGATCAATGACCTGAGAACTTTCTGGGATGTAGAGAGCCGCGATTTTCTGTCTCCCATTCAGAATTTTGTAGGCTAATTCGTTTGTAATCAACTCTTGCTGTAAGGAAGAGGATGTGGGAAATATTTCACCAGAGTGGGGCCAAATGAGCCCAACATAGCCCCGCTGGGCCTCCAGAACTAGGAGAGCACTGCTGGAAGTTATCAAGTCACACTGCACGGCTTCATCTACTGTCAGTCGCTTAGCAGGGTTTGAGTGCATGATCCCACCTGTCTGAAGCTGGTAGGTGAGGATGCTACTTGCTGTGTCTCTGTCAATCATCCCCTCTGCCATGGCTTCTTCGACAGTCATTTTCTGACCAGAGCTGCAATTGATCAGACCACCAGACAGAAGCTGTGCACCTAATAGCCTAAACATGGTTTCACGGTCTATGAGCCCTTCATGAGCTGCTCTTAGGACACTGATGCTCCTCCCACATTTCAATGTGATTCTGCCCCCTTCCTGTGGTCTCACGGGTAGAAGCCAAAGCCCGGTATTTTCCTGCAAAATGCTTCTTTGTACCATGTCAGTTAAGGATACCTTCTCCGAAGTGCATGGGTCAATGAGATCTTTGCAAGTATTTTGCCTCTCTAGGACTTTAGAAAACAATGCCGAGGAAATCAAATTCTGCTGGAAAGCCTTCTGTAAGGTCAGGCGTTCGCCTGTGGCTGGAACCACCAGAGAGCCAGCAGAAAGCAGCATCTCAAGAACTCGGATGGCCATGGACTCCGATACCACGCCTCGGGCCAGACAATCTAGCACGGGAATCGTGGTTGGTGATGCAGCAGAAATGATCTGCTTTACTTCGTTGAGTTCTTTCAGTTGGCGTAGAATTTGTTCATCAATGAGGCCACAGCCTTCGGCATCTTTGAGGTCATAACACTTTCTTAATTCTGGTGAAATTAAACCAGAGATCACTAGCTGTGCCTCAAACAACCTGATTCCTGTCTCATAGTCAATAAGGCCTCTTAAAACTGCCTGGAAGATGGAAAGGACCTCTCCAGTTGTCTGATTGATGGTGCCTGCAATCACTTTATCCAGCTGAAAGGAAAATGTAGAAAAGCTGGATCAGTCGGGTATCCAAGGCAGTTTCTTACAACTTAGGTGGATTTGTTTTATAATAATATACTTAATCATAAAAAAAAAAAAGACCTCTACTTACCAAGGCAGCTTGTGAATGTTAGGCAGCTCAAATGCACAAGTGATCTATGTCAGTGATCTATTCAACAGCACAGGATGTGATAAAGCTTTGAAAACAACATGCATCTGTGAATTGAAAACTTAACATCTTTGTGTACTAACAAGGTTAGTGAGGACACAGGAGTAGGTGTGGATAGAGAGAAAGGAAAACACGTATCTAGAAGGCAAACCATGCTTTATGCATCTGGGTGAGATTAGAGTCTAGTGACACCAGAGAGCATCAAACTCCATGCTACTGATGTTTACAGCATACAGATTTTTCTGAGGATAGTTAAAAAAAACCAAAAAACCTAAGGAGCCAGAAAACTTGTTACATACCCCCCAAACATGACAAATTTTGTGAAAGTATTCCTAGGAGTCATGAAGTTAAAAATAAGAAACACCTATTAAATATTGAACACTGAGATGGGCACATTACTATGCGCCAGACAATTTTTCCGTGGTTTCTGTTAATTTTTTTTTTAAGAAGATGTGAGAATATTCTCACTTTAAGATGTAGCCTCCCATCACTCAAATAATTTCAATGGCTATGTCTGACAATCAAAAAACTCCATAGCATATCAGCTGTAGAGATGACCCACAGGCTCTTTTCTAACATATGAAGTACCAAAGACAACAGTAAAAGAATGGCTTTGAAAAAGAAGAGTTAGAAGATGAACGAGTCCTTTTTGACCATGCAAGGCAGAGATTAAGAAGGCATAGATTGATGACCAGCACACGGAAGATTGTACTTTATCAAGAGAAGAAGCCTCCAAACGCTCAAATTCTCTCCGTGTTTTTTCCACGTACAAACCATGAGGTATGTTACCATATTGTCAGTCATGCACAGACTAGACTCTTGAACGGCCCTCACATCTAGCGAGTAACATTACCTTCTCTACCTTCGTATCTCCAGAGGGTTGCGATTCTTGCTGTTTCAGAGATTCACTGAATAATAAATTATAACCTTCTTGAAGAGCTTTCAGTTGTTTCTCCAATTCACTTCTTTCTTCATCTGTCAGTCTACAACAGGTATAAAGTATCAAGAGGTAATGTTAGCATTCTTGTCAAAGTGTATAACTTGCCTGAAATGCCACTGCTATTTCTCAGGTCTTACAATGATAATATATTAAAGTAAGGGGCCTATATAAAATATCCAAGATTCTTTCCCTTTGTCTAAGAAAGAGACTAAAGAGTTAAATAGTCAGTACCTCTTCAAGATCTACACAAAGAACAACAACAACAACAACAACAACAAAAACCATTAGAGCTACTGCAAGTTGATCAGAGAAAGATTCTTCAAAGAATAACATGAAATCATTTCAGGGTAACTGTGAAGAGGCCATTCCAAAAGGACATAAGATAAGGGGAAAAGGCCTTCCTTGTTTCAATCACTGTTTGAAATATATGAAGTAACATGCAAAGAATAAGACTATAAAACACATAGAGACACAAACCTCTATACCCACGCAGGCATGCAAAGAACACATTTATGAAAGTCCCCCAAAAGTACTATATAGAATTAAAACCTGACCTAGAGCCTGTATGGCCACTCACTGGCTCCTCATCGTAAACCTGTATGAACCAGTTTTACGTATCAGTAGCAGATGAGGATCGGTACACTGTAGAATGGTGAAGACTAGAAGTGATAGATTGCTAAGTTCATGTTCTATTAAGTGTGGTTGGTTTATGTCCCATTGTTAAGATGTCAGTTAAGATGCACTGTCTCTCGTCTGCTGGATGTGTCAGAAGGTGACCCTACACTGAACCAAAGGGCCAATGAAAGCCAACATACTTGTCTCCATGTTTAGCTAAGAAAAGCTGTGTGGCTTGAAGAGCTTCGGAGAACTGCTCCTTTTTGATTGATATTTCTTTACTGGAAATCTGTAAAGGTAAAGAAGGCACATTCAAATTCTGCCCTACAAAATGAGTATTAAATAATAATTTTAAAATATAATGTTTTAATCAAGGCAAAAGTGACAGGTATATTTTCTGGGTGACACACATTGGCTGTGAGCAGTATGAAGGCCTGCCTAAGAGGTCAAGGTCAGCTCTCCCCAGTAGATACAAGAGAAGTGCAGAGCCCCCCAGTCAATGCTACCACCTTAACGCAACACCACACAAGTCTTGCATTTGACCTGGCCCAGCCATGAATGTACCAAAGGCCAGAGACTCAGTGCTGACTCACTAACATCCCTGTGTGCCTTTGTTCTCAAAAGGACACTGTGACTGTGGGACACTACTTCCAAGGAGGATCTTCCTTCCAGAGGCTCCTTCATAATGGTGAAAGAGCACTCAGTGGGCCTGTAGATCAAGAGGTAACAGCTCAGGCTAGCACCCTCCATCCTAGGTCCTCTTTGGCAATGGAAGAAGGAAAACCCTTCTGAGGGAAAAGGGGTTTTCCCAAGACTCTTCTCTAACCCCCTTTCTTTTGATCGAGGCTTCCACTGATGCCAAGTATACTATTTAGTCAATTTGCACTTAGCTTTGCATGGCTGTAGGTAATCATGAAGGTAAATGGACTCACTGGTGTGTATTAAACCACTTTTTCCTTTAGAAGAGAACAAACAAGTGCTCTGGCAGAACTCCAGCTGAAGCCGTGATCTTATTTAAAAGTGTCTGTGAACACCACACCTAAATCTCACCAGTGTTTCAGAGAACTTGTAACTATAATGTGAAGATACCAGGTGTTTATAAATTGATGTTTCCACAGGAACACATTTTCTCAACACATCTTTGCTAAGGCTTATGGGCCTGTTTTAATGTGTTCCTATTTGATCATGAGGAAAAGCTTGGGGATATTTTAAATCCAACATCTGAGGCAAATCATCTTGGAGGGTTTTGGTTTGAAGCACGGGAAATTAAGTTCTTTCTGAATCCTCAGCTCTTCCATTTAAATGATACACAGCACGAAAGACTATGAGCTAACTGGCTCCACTTTCAAAGAATAATATCTTAAGAGAAACCCCAAATCAGATCTATCTAGCCTTACATCAACAGCAAGATTAGACAATAGTTGATGTCTTCCCCAACCACACCCTCTCAACATCGACTGAGTACGAGGACTAAGGCAGAGCTAGAAGAGACACTAAACCCTGAGACTGAGTGAAAGCTCTAGAAACGACCAATGTCAGGCAAGGGTAGGAACTAGCCTGCTGTAGGAAAAGTATTCCTTATGTAAAAGCTTCTATTGGTGTCAATGTCCAGGCATGATGACACAATCCTGAAATCCTAGCACTTGAGAAACTGGGGCCAAAGATTAGGAGTTCAAGGCCAGTCCTTGCTGCATAGCAGAGGCGAGACCAGCCTTGACCTTGTCTCCCCAAAATAAGACCGACCCAACAGAAATATACAAACTAGCAGGAATTCCCACCACCAATAACAGCATTAATAGGATTTATTCATTAATACCAATGCCCTGAACACTGTGGGGCAAAAACACCTCCATGATGTAGTCTCCCAGCTAATCCTAAGCAACTATTTCCTTGTGAGAAAGATCTAGAAAGGAACTACTAAACATCCACCGATGTTCACATCTTAGATGGTATTCTCCATGTCTTTCTGATGTGGGTGGCATGGAGGACTGATGACTTCATGGGTCAACAGTCCCAGTCATTCTAATCAGGGAGTGGCTCTACGTGTGGCAAGGTCCTATAACCTATTGGCTTGTTGACAGCGCGGCCAATGCAAATGGTTCTGGCTTTGGAATAGGACACCCTCTGCCATCACATTCTAACTATGATTCGTTGGGCAAACTGCCTAACCGCCCAAGCTCTTGTATCTTCATTGCCAGGAGTAACCCTGGGGGAAACGGACATGAAGACTTCTAGATTGTGCGTTGTAGGCTGCATAATTCAGTGAGTGCTACCCAGGCAGGATTAGGGCCTCTGTGAATACCTGTTGGTTAGAGAAGAGAGGTTTCCCAGCTCTCTCCCCATCTCTCATTGTCTTGCTGATATTGGATACCCATTTCTGCAGTTCTCTGGCCTTTTCAACATGTTGTTTCTTCTCTTCTTCCAAAGACTTCTGACAGGTGGTTAAAAAAAGAAGAAGAAACATTCTAGTAAATGACTCATGAGCGCGCTTCTCAACTAACTAATCCTCTCTGCTGAAAATAAGAACGCAGAGATGTTTTCCCATCACACGCATGGATTACGGAGATATTTTATTCACTCCCTTAACCTTGTTCACCACGTCACACAGCAGATGTCTACGTTAGCGGGGAAAGCTTTGACAATCTGTCTTTATTCACTGCTCTGACCACCCAGCTGCTCTGTGAGTATGGCAAAGAAGCAAACACAACTTTATTCATGAGACTGGGAGGTTTGGGAATTGCTGCCTTTACATTAGCATTACAGTCGCGAATGGCTTGACAGACAACAGGACGCAAAAGGAGAGACACACAGATGACCCCCCCCCCTCCTCCAATACACAATGGATTTGTTAGATTTTAATTCCGAGGACTCAACGAAAAGAAGAGATTACAATAGACACTTTAATATGTAAAGAACATCACAGCCTGTAGGAAGCGGTCTTCAGCCTCATGGGTCTGGATGCACCTGCATTTCTCTTCGATCTTGTAGTGTGCTGGAGGTGGTCTTTCAGGGTGCATGTTGTACCACACCATAAACATGCCGTTATCTACTCAGTGAAAGGGCGCGGAAGGGTGACTGAAGAAATGAGTCTGTGAATGCGTTGATGGTCACCATGCCTCACCCCGCTTTCTAGGTGAAACCCATTTATTTTAGTGAGATAAGATGACTTAAGGATGTAGTGTTTTGGGAGCAGCCAATCTTGTGTTATTTTCAACTTAAAAATGACCATGTTTTCGGAGCAGGGAGCTATTTCTAGCCTACGAGAAATTATCAGTGCTTCGAGTCAGTGGCACAGTTCCTAGACCATCTACTCTGAACAGATGGCAGGAAGCGGCCAACACTGCCCCTGCATGGGTTACTTAAAGGCCCTACTGGGAAGAATAGTAGAGGCTGGAAATGCCTGTCATCAAGGGCTCAGAAACTTCTAACAGCTTAAGTCCTGTGTGGAAATCAAAATCAGCTTTCTCTAAGGCTTCCTTATATGTCAACTTCCTTTTAGTCTGGGGGCATATTATATTCCTGACGTGTGACTTCTGATCTTTGAGTCTGGTAGCAATGAGGACATCGATGATACCCACCTGAAGAGCCTCTTCTATTGACAGCCTCGAGTGAACCCGTGGCTCTATCAGGCCTCCTGTCAGATACTGGAATTCCAGACAGCGGATGCCCATCTCTTTACTTATGATATTTGCATTCACGGCTTCTATCACTGACATGGTCTTATTAGTGACTGGGTGGCCAACGCCCGTGATCACTAACTCACACTGGCGCAGCTGCTGGGCAAAACCCTCATCAACTAGGCCTCTATGCAAAGCCTCGGCCACTCTGTACCTTTTGCCGGTTAGCGGATCAATTATCCCCCCTGTGCTGACTTGGGCTTCAAGGCATCTGAGGGCCGTAATCCTATCAACCAAATTTCTCCGGGAGGCTTTCAGTAAGGAGATGCGTTCCCCACTAGCAGTCAGCCAGTAGCCTGCAATGGGACTATGTAGATCCTTCTTAGGTATGACCTTGCTCAGCAAACAGTCGGCCAGTTCTGTTAGTGTGCTAAGGCCTTCCTGATGCTTTTGAATCAAGGCTTTGTCTAGCGATCCCTTCTCTACGGCCTCACTAATATTGAACTGCAGACCAGTTTTACTGTCAGTCAGCACGTGAGAAGGATGCCCGTAGGAGTCAAAAAATGTGGCTTCCTTCCACTGGTACTGCTGACTCGAGAGCTCAAGGTAAGTACTTTTGTCAATCAGGTTTCTCTGGAAAGCCTCATAGGCAGTCAGCTCCGCTCCTGTTTTCGTATCTACCACGGAAATTTTATGAGTTTTCTCTACGTTGAGACTGGATACGTCCCTTTCCCCAAATGGCAAGAGAAAGCACTGGCAATCTACGTCAAACACACACATCTGTAGCAACTCTGCATAATACAGAGCCTGCTTGTTGTTGGGGTTAGGAAAGACTCTTGTGTTGCTGGACGGCTCGTGCAAAAACTGTAAGATGGCATTGTTCAGTAAGCCCTGCTGCACAGCAGATTCTGGAGGGACACGGATGCCTCTCACGGGGTCAATGACGCCCCCACTGGCAATCTGCGCTTCCAAGATATGTTTACCTTTCTTCCTATCAAGCATTCTATTTTCCATTGCCTGGAACACCGACAGCATCTTAGAAGAATGTGAATATCCCAAAACTGCCTTCTCTGCCTCCAGGAGCCTATTCCTGAATTCAGGGTCAACGATGCCTTGCAGAACTGCATCTTCAACGCTGTATGTCTGACCAGAAACGGGATCGATTATAAAACCTGTTGCTGCCTGAGCCTCTAAAAATGCTAGAGCCATCATTTTATCTATTATGATTTTCTGGGCTGCAGAAGCAAATGACATTTTTTCTTTGGAAGACTCTATATAAAGTCCTGCAATTGAGGTGGCTTTGGTCAAAAACTTGCTAAGACTTTTCTGAACTTCTTCAACAGTCTTCAGACCGCGTCGCAGCTGCTCAACTGTTCTCAGGTCCAGAAGCTTTGCTTCAACCAGCTGCCTACCCGTCACAGTGTGCCTGAGCCCTTGGAACTGAAACTCATCCTCCCTAACAGAACATGCTTGGTTAAGGTCAAAGCTCCGCGAAGTCTCTGGCTCTACACTTTTCTTAGGGAAATCTCCCTTGAATCCACCAGATGCTCTGGATGCTTCCAGCATCCATCCACCAGCATTGGAACCCAGCTTCTTCTCTTGTGTTAAGGTTGTGACTTCTGTATGCATACCACACTGTTTGTTCTTAGCTATCTGCAACAGGAATGTTTAAGATGTTAAAAGTTGCCTAAAGAACACGATGACACTTTACCAAATATTCTCCACCCAAACCCAATCTCTTGACTTATAAATAAGTGAAGAATGGCAAAACAAGGAGAGGGGATAATAATATTTTGAGACTCTTTTGGCAATTAGACACTTTAAAGTAGTATGTGGAAAAAAAAGATTGAAATGAAACCTGGACGCAGAATATGCTAGAAGATGAAGATAATATTTGGTTCTTCTAGCTTTTCCCCCTTCTTGTGGTGCTGGGACTCTGACCCAGGGCTTTTGCACATGCTAGGGAAGTCGTCTACCACTGAACTGCATACACAGCCATTTTCTAGATTTTTTTTTTTTAAAATAAAACCACATTAATTTCCCATAGATATATCAATTTACCCACTACATTTATGTAGAATCTCAAGCATTCATAAATCAGTGGTGAATTATAGCAAAAATGCAGCCTAACTGATGGAGAATTATAGCATTATTTTCTTCTCAGGACTATACGCAGCTTAGGATACAAAGCTGTTAAAAAACGTAGTCCTGGAGGGAAGAAGAAATAAAAGAATAAGCCTGGCCTGGTCTAGCTGATAAGGTCTCACTCAGAACAATGTGTACCTCTAAGGGTGTCAAAAGCTTCACCAATTCCATTTCAAGTTTGTCATCTTGATACCTAACAGGCGGTCTGGAAGTACGCAAGGCTTGGTCTCTCATCTTCTCTAGTTCAGACATTCTCGAAATCGGGTTTTTCTCATCAAAAGTTATCTGTAATTCAGTACTCGTCTGGGAAAAATACTCGGAGTAGCATGGTTGGCTGCTCTCCGAGTCCAGCAGAGGCGCCGGCTGTCGGAACTGAACCTCCTTTGGAATTTGTTCAGCCAGTCTATGCTGCCGTTTCTCTTCTACCCGTTGTGCTTCCTGAGTCCATCTTGACAGCGGACACCTGCCCTTGAGGTTAAGGTGTCCAGAGTTCCCAGAGGAAGTGTCTGTGGGGTGGTGGCGCTCTCCCCCTGCCATGTCAAGACCCGACGCAGAGGTACGATCTCTGGCTGTGCTTCTGTCTTGGATTTCACACTGCAGCAAAGCTAGCTGATGCTCATGCTCCTTCATCTGCTGGTCCATTCTCTGCTTGAGGCTCTCGACCTCACGCCTCTGGGCCATCAGCTCCTCCTCAAGCTTCCGGCATCTCTGATAATGATTTGCTTCTATATGCTGGCCCTGCCGCATCTTCTCGCGGTAGCACTGAAGCTGCCGCTCCAGTTCGCGGATGTTTGTCTCCCACTGCTTTGCGTTCTCCTGCGCTCGGCAGTTCTCCCTCTGAAGGGACACAAAGTCGTGCTTAATGCCAGAGATATCATTTTCGGTGATGACCTTGGACTCCATCAGCCTTTCCATCTTTTTCCGAAACTCGTCCGCTGAGCGCTTGAATTTATCCGACTCCTCCTGCAGCAGGGCCATCTTCCTGCGGGTCATCTGCTCTTCGATGGTCTTCAAGTGCAGCTCGTCCTGAACCCTTTTCAGCCTGTCATTCAGCTCTTGCACCTGAGCCCGCTGCAGCTGACCCTTCTGCTCCTCCCGTCGCTTCTCCTCCTTGGAAGCGCTCAGCTCCGCGCTCAGACTCCTCACCTCCTTCTCCGTGTTCTGGATGATGACGCTCTGCTGGTCACACTTTTGCTTAAACTCACTCACCAAGTTTTGACTCTGGGCTAGGTCATCCTCTAGGCTTTTGATTTTTCGGTGGAAATCCTGCTCTGTCTTGGTCTGTTTGTGCAAGTGTTCGTTGGTGTTGCGCAACTGGTCCTTAAAACCGTCTGCCTGAATTTGCAGCACTTCGCATCGTTGCTGGATAGCTTGTTTCTCTCGAACTACGTTCTTGGACTCGGTCTGAATCCTCTGCATCATTAACTTGGTCTCGTTGTTCTGCCTGGTGAGCTCGTCCACCCTTTGTTTGAGCCTTTCTGCACACTCGTTGCTTTTCTCCAGCTCTTCGTTCAGCTTTCGGATCTTATCATTGTTTTCTTTCTCAGCTTTGATATTCTCAAGCAATTGTGCGTGGCTCTTCTCAAACTCCTGTTTTAGGTGATCCGATTTTCTCTGGCAGAGCTGTCTCCTTTCGTCCGAGAGCTCCTTCTCATCCCGCGAAGCATGGGCTTGGGAATTTAAGCGCTGGATGTCCCTCTCTGCTAGAGCATGGGCCCTAGTGATTCTGTCCACTTCTCTCTGGAGCTTCCCTTTCTCGTGGTGCAGAGATTCTAATTCTAACTGATAGCTGTGCTTTATTTTCTTGAGGTCATTAGCTTCCTGTCTGACCTCTTCAGCCTTGTCAGTGGTTTGGTTCAGCTGCCTGCCAAGGTCTCGGAGCTGCTGGGAGTAGCGTTCCTGGACCTGGTCCTTCCTCTCCAGCTCCCCCTTGAGGCACCTGAGTGTGTTGTTGGTCTCGTCCAGCTTGTCTTTCAGCTGCCGAGCCTTTTCCTCCGAGGAAGCCTTTTCAAGCTGCAAGGCACTGAGCTCGTACTTCAGCTCCCTCATCTCTTTCTCGGCCTTTCTGTTGGCCACAGTCAGCTCATCCACCTGCTGCTTCAGCTTCTCCTCTTTCTGTCTGCCGAGCTCCTCCTGGGGACCCTCCACGGGCCTGCACGACGTAGCCTGTGTGACGCTACAAGCCGGCAGCCCGTTTTCCCTACACGAATACTGAATCTCGGTTATTTTCCTCCTCGCTTCCAATTCGATCTCTTGCTTTTCCTTCAGCTGCTTCTCGGCCACCTGTTTCTGGAAGACCAGGTCCCTCTCCATCTGCTTCACCAGCTTCAAGAGTTCCTCCTCGTGGTCTCGCTTGCGGCGGAGTTCTTCCACCAAGGCCTGTTTCTGCTGCTCCAGATCACTGAGGCTTGAGTCCTTCCTCCTAAGATGATCCTCCAGGGTCCTCCTGGTGAGGGTGTGCTCCTCCAGCTGGCTCCGGAAGCTGCTGAGGTTCCCCTCCACCGCGGCTCTCCTGGCCTCCGCCTCGGCCGTGAGCCGCCTCACTCGCTCCAGCTCGCGCTCTGCAGCCTCCTTCTCTCTCACGATGCTCTCCAGTTCCTGGCGATACTGCTTGGCCTCGCTCTCTGCCCTTAGCTTCTGCAGAACGATGTCTTCCACGTTCCTCTGTTGCTTTCTCAGTTCATTTTCCGCAGCCTCCTTAACCCTCGGGAGCTCTTCCTCTGCCCGGGATTTCTGTTTCTTCAGCTCAGCCACCATGGTTTCCAACTCACCGATCTTTCCCGTAAGTTTGCTATTTTCCACCATGGTTGCTTTCTGACGCTGTAGCAGATCTGAGTATGCCCCGTGCTCAGAATTCTCCTTAGACCTTTTCATCTACGAGAAACATTGCAAGTGTCAAAGCCGTTCTACCCGAACAGAGTCGGCAGCCTCTGAAGCAGTGCTCATGTACTCACGAGACCAAGGGGACTGGAGGGGAGAACAAGCACCGGCCACCAGCACCATCACCAGCACCAGAACCGGCCACCAGCACCAGTTTCTTCAGAGCAGAAACGACAGAAAGTTGGCAGGGAGCAGACAGATGACCTGCAGGACGTTTCCCAAAGAATCCCCTTTGTCCTCGGGAGTAATTTCATATGGAAAATTAGCTGGCTTGCAGTTCTGAAGTAAGAAAGGACTCTACCAAACATGGAGCAGAACCCCAAACTTTTATAGATGCAAAATTAAGCTTTGCTCACGACGATACCCACTCAGTTCTCTCAACTTACTCATGCCACCTTAGAACAAAACCGCCACGCAGGAACAAAGGGCACAGATTTAGTTTGCACTAAGGAGACCAGCGGAAGGTAAACATGGTACTCACCCCATGTTTATGAGTAAAGACATGGAATTTCAGAACAGAGAGCCAGATTCAGAAACGATCCTTTCAACATGGGAAAGGAGGGTTACATAAGTCTTGGCATTTCCAAGCCACTGTTTATGACGGCAAATGTGACAATCGTGATGACGAGAATTGCTAATGTAAAGGCAGCTCCAGTCCCTGGCTTTCACGGAGATGATATTCAAGCACCCACAGATTTCGTTGTTGTGTTGTTGTCATTGGCATGCCTCATCTGAAACCCATTTTGTCAAGTACCTTTAGGTACCCCACGGACACAAAGATATTTGTGAAATGTTTTAAAGATACACCTAGGGATTCATGTCCGCTTTATCAAATAAAAATAAGAAACCCTTTTCAGCAGCTGGGAGGACTGGGGAACTAAATATTAACTGAAACTTCACGCGCTTGAACTATCATTCAATTCACTATCGAAGTCTTTGAAAATCTCTGTTTCTGCCAGCTTCTATCTTAGTACAGGAATTGAGCAGTGAGGCCCAACATATGTGCAACTAAATATCTACTGTGAGAACAGAAAAGGACTTAAATGATTTTATATTTAACAACTGCAGGTAAGATTTGAAAGACATGTTTAAAATGGAATACCGTATCTCAAACTATAGTGAAAATGAAATTCCTCCGCACATAAGAAGCGCATTATATTTACTAAACAGGAACTCTGGGCCCTTTCTTTGTAGGCATAAAGGAAGCCTTAAGAACCTACATGAGTGGGTTAGTGCGGAAAACTGTTGACTCTGAACAGACCAAAACAGTTTATAAAAGAGTTGTGCCTGCAGAAGCTGAGACAGCAAAGCAACCGCCATTTCACAGGCTCTGGAGACCGTTTGTTCCGTCAGTGCACAAACAGCACCGTATCAGGTAGCGACACCTGAAGAACTTCAACAGCCCAATTACGATGGCCAGGTCCCAGATTTTCCATTTACACATTTTAGCATGCTTTCAACTATTTTTGTCTGTTCTAGGATGAGGGGGGAAAAAAGGTCATCAGAAGAATAGAGCATGAACGAATCCTTTCACGAAAAGAATCAACAAGCTTTCATGTGATGTATTTTTATGAGTGATTTCTCATTCTTCCTATTTTCAACACAGTTTTAAGTTCCGGATGAAAGCTGAAGAGGTCCTTCAAATCAGAACCATACTTACTCTTCTGATCACCTATAATTTTATGGCAAAAACACACAAAGTATAAAGCTCTATCAATTCTTAAAAAGCCCACTCTTTTGAATAAGTTGCTAAGTTTATCTTTTAAATTTAATTATTTATAATAATTTTAATTCCTTAAAGATGCATATTAATTCAAGATGCGTTCCCAGAGTGCATCTCTACAGCCTCTGTATGAGCAGCAACTGCACTTGAAGGAAATAATTACCCTGCAGTAAGGAAGACAAACAAAATTCTGACCAGACCCCCCAAATCTTCTAGCTGAAACAGAACCATTTATGACACTAACTCTATCATGTTAGGGTTCTGAAGTAACTGCCTTTGCGGTCTCAGAAATTAAACCCAGAACTAAAGCACACTTAAGCAAATACCCTAGTCCACTCAAAGTGAAAATTTAAAAATGCTTTGTCCAAGGCTTTCCCTCTTTCCCTGTGTAAGCTTCTAATTAACTACTTGTACATTAGCTTTCAGTCATATTGCCATGAAGCCTATTTTTGCCTCCCCAAAACATTACAGTTACGGCTCAGATCTTGTTCTTGTTCCTTGGGTGTTCATTGTTAAAGGTTACCTCCTCCTCTTCCAGCCTTTTCAGTGAATCACCAGCAAATTTAATATACTGTGTCATAAGAGTGACCAGGGCAGTGTATCGAGTCCGTAGGTCCATGAACTGCGAGGGAGAAATGATACGAAGGTTAGTGAGCTCTAAATGATGCCCGCACTACCAACTGGGCTTCGGAGAACAAAGAACACAGGAGTAATGAGCTCTGTGCACCACGCTAAGCCATGGCTTCTTTCTACATTTAATCGCGAAGTACATTTAATTTTTCTGGGCCGTGGTGGCACACACCTTTAATTCCAGCACTTGGGAGGCAGAGACAGGTGGATCTCCATGAGTTTGAAGAGTGAGTTGCAGGACAGCCAGCACTACACAGAGAAACCCTTTCTCAACCCTCAGCCCCCCCCCAAAAAAATATTTAAACAAAAAACTCTTTATTTTAAAAGGGATTTTGTTGTTGTTTTGTTTGTTTGTTTGTTTGGTGTTTGGTTTTTCAAGATAGGATTTCTCTGTGTAGCCCTGGTTGTCCTGGAACTTGCTCTGTAGACCAGGCTGGCCTCAAACTCATGGAGATCTGTCTGCCTCTGCCTCTCAAGTGCTGGGGTTAGAGGCGTGCACACCCCCTCCCCCCTGTAAAAGGGATTTTAAGGAGACTTAATAAAATGTGGTGTTACGGCATTTTCTGTTGCGGAATCCTTGTTTGGACTGTGTCACTGTGATTGGTTTAATAGAGAGGAAGGCAGGAGAAGATAGGCGGGACTCCAGGCAGAGAGAGGAACTCAGGTTACATCTAGGCGCACAAGAGATGCCAGGGAGATACTGAAGATTTGACGGGGAGGAGAGGCAACTGAGCCACATGGCAGAACATAGACTGATAGAAACAGGTTAATTTAAGAGTTAGTTGGAAAAGAGCCTAAGCTAAGGCCAAGCTTTCATAATTAATAAGTCTCCATATCATTATTTGGGGCTTGGCACTTCAGGAAAGTCAGACAAGAAAGTCCAACTACATCTTTTTGTCAGGATAGGTAGAAAAAAAAAGTACTAGAAGTGAATAGTGATGAATGTACAAAATTGTGATATACTAAAATTGCATTAAGTCAGTTAAAAATAACTAAAATGGCCAGTTTTATATATAAAAGGTATGTTTTACCATGATAAAAGTAAAACTTCTTAAAATGTTTCTCTTTTCTGCCTGACCTCTGCTCTTCTCTGTTTGTTACCTCTTGAATGATGAGGTCCGCGGAGCTCTGTATCCGCCGCCGTTTCACTGGAGACTTCTGCTGTGAATCGACCATAGCCCTGTAGGTCATTGTTTGCAATTCATAGTCCTGCATAAAAGAGTCAAGATGATAAAGTTCATTAAAGCAAAGCCTGAAAGCTTCGTCCATAGTGTCTGATCCCAGGGAATTTGAATGTGGTCCACTGGACTAAGTTTAAATACAGAAGTAAATAATGAAAACGAAATCTTTAAAACTGTGTTTGGTCCTAGAGGCACTTGCAAGCTGGTGACCTACGCAGAGACATGTGCAGCAGTCAGCAAAGATCCCAACTGTCTTTAGAAGACACAAAAGCATTTGCTGCAGATCACTCTTGGTACAGGCAGCCTCTACTTATTCTGCAGCAACAACAGAGCTATGGAGCTGGGAAGCTAAGGAACTGTCAATGGAAATATGAGAGCGTCTCTTAAGTACGAGTTAAAATTCTCTCAATTTTAAAGAAAAAGGGAACGCACTAAGGAACGCGTTTCAGAGCCGTTTGTCTACGGCGTGCACACATTTTCACGCATTTACGGAGATGGTGAAATAAACCGGTTGGGGCTGTCATGACTCACTTCACCAAGAGTTAGTAGGTAAGCATAAGAAGGTTTGAAAGGGGCTTACAAAAGGTTCAAATGGTCTTTTAACATGGGATGAAATGGTATGAGTTTCTTTAAAAAATATGCTACAGGAATATCTATACATAAACACTAAATTTGCCTCAAGCAAGCGACTCTTCTCACCTTGACTGTGGCTGAGTACTGCTCGGAATATTTCTGACATTCGTCCATTTTGCTGTGTTTTGCCTCTATCTCAGACACCAGCATCTGTAGAGAAAAGGGACGGGAATTCTACACCGTTCCAGCTCATGCTCGGGAACCGAGAGACCCCCACGCCACCCAGCACTGTATGTCTCAGTGCATGAACCTTGACGTATGGATAAATAAAAAAGGCCCATAAGCGATCCACCCTTGTGGGGCTTTCAAAGCAGACATGAGAACCAGGCAAGACAGACTCGGTGCCCTTCCTCATACCCACTCCAGATGAAAACAGGGTTAGACATCACCGGCTCCCAATAATGGAACAAAAACCTCAAGACACTCAATTTCCCACAGCTGTGACTGGGATTCTGCCTACTACCTCTGGCCACCCTTATTAATTCAGCAAGCATACAACCATGTTGCTGGAACAGTGTCAAGAAAATTAGACACAGCCTACGAAAGCAGGAAGATGAGGCATGTAAAAGCTACCCCAACACACTGCTCATTATCTGTGCTTTCAAAAAATGACTTCCAGGAAATAAAAATAAGCGGAGGCAAGTTTGGGGTGTAGAGTTCCCATACACATTGCTATTGCCTGCGGCTGTCTAAGTAATTGCCTTTTCTTCCAACACAGGAGAGAAAGATGAAGCTCGTAGACAACCAAACGCGGGCAGAATCGCAGTACAAGTGTTTCTTTGAATGTACCTTCTGTTGATTCAGCTGTAAGGCTAGGGCTTTGCTGTTTTCTGGCTGATTCTCCTGAATCTTTCTCTGGGTAGTTTCAATTTGCTGGATCCAGTCATCTAGAGGGTGGTAGGAATCTTTGTAGTACTTCAGTGACTTCCCAATTCCTTCTAGGTCCCGAAGCCTGCAAGAAGAAAATGAACAGTCAGGTTCCAGCGGAACCTGAGGGGCTGGGAAGAGGAAGCCCAAGTGGAGATCCAGGGGCCTAAGCGCAGTGGCAGCTGCACAAGCAAAACGGGGTAGATGGGCCTGAGACAGACCCCTGGGGCACTCCACACACCATCAGGGCGAACAGAGATGACCTGCTCCGGGGGCTTCAAAGTGGACTGGAAAGATGGGAGCTGGAGAGGTGGGGGCTGGAGAGATGGCTCAGAGGTTGAGTTGCTGTGGTCATGGTGTCTCTTCACAGCAATAGAAACCCTCACCAAGACACCAAGATATATTAGCATTTTTAATTATAAAGAATTGAAAATGTTGTTTTTCTGAGGCTGGGGAGATGGCTCAGCATTGCAAGTACTGGCTGCTCTTACAGATGACTTAGGTTCAATTCCTAGCACCCACATGGAGGTCCACAACTCTCTGTAAACTCCAGTTACCAGTGAATCCAATGCCCATTTCTGGTCTCTTCAGGTACCAGGCATGCATGTGGAACACAGGCATACATACACGCAAGCAAAACACCCACACATATCAAATAAAAACAAATCTTAAATAAAGAGAAAGGAATGTTCCTTTCAAGTTACACGTGTTGCTCAAGTGCATATGTAAATGGGAAACAATCCTGCAGTTAAATTAACACATTAGCTACGGAACCTCATTTAAAAGCCTGTTAAGTTTAGGCTTTGCCCCCTGTACACAGAGGGAATCCAACCCACACAGCCACTGAACAGAAAAGGACCCACCTGTTGTCAATCTGCACATGGACATTCTGCCACCTTTCAACCAGCTGGTCTGCCTTTTCCTTGTGCCAATCAAAGTCAAGGTCCCGCTCTTTGTGCGCCTTAAACATCTCGTCGCTGATGGCTTTCGCTTTCTGTAACTCGTCCTCCAAAGCATGGAACACCCCTCTCTTCTCATCCACTTCTGACCGCCATTGCTAAAGACACGAGCCAATGGGCATCACGAAACGTTATCAGCAAGTCATACAGCAAACACAGTCTTTCTCTAATGTGACCATTCATTTCATGACTATGTAATGTACAACCAGACGAAGAGAAACCTGTGATCCTGAAAACGGGTAAGGCATAACCTTATAAAATGACTATTATCTAACCGTGCTTTGATCTCTAAAATAAATAAAGAGGTGTTGCTGTGAGAGACTCTTATGTCACTTAATGGAGTAAAGGATAAAGGGGGAAGGGTAGCAGTTCACAGGGACGGGTCAACACACACAAAAAGCAAGCACAAATTCATGTTCATAAAGAAGCTAAATTCATGTTTCTCAATTAAAGGTCATAAAAACACAAAGGAGTCCATAAAATCCAGCCTACTAAAATTTATGCTTTTTGGTTGTGAGCCTAGCCTTTGACAGCTGAGCCATCTCTCCAGCCCCTACTAGAATTTATGTGTCAACAAAATTAAGAGTATTCCATAAACAAGGCAGCTGCTCCAATAAGTCTTTTTCTATTGTTTTTAGATGCTTCTGGTTCCATTGTTTAACAACTAATACACGCTCAAAATGACTGAAGTGTTTTTGCAATGGCCTTGCTAAGTAAGCACGTTACATGGAGAAATACAGATACAGGGTCCAAAGAGATGGCTTGGTGATTCAGGCTGCTTGCTGCCATCCCTTACGAGCTGAGTTCGAGCCCCAGAACCACAGGTAGAAATAGAGAGCCGACCCCTGAAAATTTGCTTCTGACATCAACAATCATGTACCCTGGCATGTGAGGTACACACACAACGCACGCGTGCACACACGGAGTTAATTTTTAAAAATAAAAAACAAATACAGTAGTAAATCTGTTTTTCTTTCTCAAAATAACTGCTGAGGCTGGAGAGATGACTGTTTTAGAACACGGGCTGCTCTCCTGCAAGACCCAGGTTCTAATCCCAGCACCCACATCATGGTTCACAACCGGCTGTAATTACAGTTGCAGGGGATCCCACGCCCCCTGTGGCCTCAGTGAACACAGCATGCACTTGGGTCACAGACATAAAGGCGGGCAAACACTCAAATACATAAAAAAATAAGTTAAAAAATATTAATAAAATACTCCTCTACTTCCTTAATTATCTCAGAATAACTGCCACTTTTAAGCAAGTGAATACACTACAAGCAATTTAATTTTTAGTATCAACTCATCTTGTTGCTGATACGAATCCGCTAGGTAAAGGTGCTGTCAGAAGGTTCGTTCTCAAACAAGAACCCCTGCGGTGGTCTGAATGAGCAGGGTTCATGGGTGTCAATGCTTGGTCCCCAGCTGGTAGGATTGTTGGGGAAGGCTTGGGGGTGTGGCCTTGTTGGAGGAGGTTGTGTCACTGGGGGTTATACTCCTCTGAGGGTTCCAAAGCTCAAGCCACACCCAGATGACCTCTCTCTCTCTCTCTCTCTCTCTCTCTCTTTCTCTGTGTGTGTGTGTGTGTGTGTGTGTGTGTGTGTGTGTCTCACTCTCTCGCTCAGCCCTGGGCTTGTGGATTAGATGTAAGCTGTCAGCCACTGTTCCAGGGTTATGCCTGCTTGCATGATTGCCTGATGCCGTGTTCCTCGCCACGATAATGATGGACTCCACTCTCTAAGACTGTTAAGTTTTCTTATAAACTGCTTTGGCCATGCTGTCTCTTCATAGCAGCAGAATAGTAACTTACACTAAAATGATGGGACATACTCATTTACAGGAAGTTATAGAATTAGAAATATGAAACGGAGAGAGCAGGTTCAGAAACATATTCTCCGTCAGGTACTTAGTGTTGGGCGTCAAAGCCCGAGCTCTGTGCTAGAGAAATGACCTTGGCCGTATAACTATGACCTTGAAAGCAGGTCCAGAAGAGACTCCTACCTTCAGAGTACTCATTAAGTTCTCAATATTATTCTTGTCGGCGATTACTGCTTCTTCTTCACAGAGTTTGGTCTCATAGAGTTTGACGACGGCTTCTGCCTCTTGAGTGTTTTTTAATACCAAATTAACCGTTTTCAACCTTTAAAAGAGAAATAAATATTAGAGCACGCTGTTTAATGCTCTGAATGACCGCACTGAGCTCTGATTGCAGACAGACAGACGGCGAGTCTGCCATCTGACTAGACTGATGGTGTTTCAGACTTACAGAAGACATGATGACATGGAACACTTACTGGTTTCCTGTAAGTCTGACACTCAGTCGACTCTCTTCCGAATAGACACCACCTTATGCCCCTCCCCCAGGTGGTATTTACACATTCCAACACAAGACAGTTCCTAGGTCACGCCACTCTATCAAGGAAAACCCTGAAGACTACCAGAGGTTAGCTAAGAAACAGAAGTGTGGGAGGACGGCGATTTCCATGGCAACGCCCCCTGGACATGGAGAAACACCATCAGTCCAGTTCCTTAAGATAAAGCACGCTGCTCATAAGAACCCATCAGAGTGATGACGGTATGCAGACGTCATGCTAACATACTTCTCTATGTAAGTGGAGGACATAGAGTAGATCTGACTCATGCTCTGAATGACCACGCTGAGCTCTGATCGCAGAGTGGGCACAGATGGCGAGTCCCCCGCTTCGCTGAAAAATTCTTCACACTTGTTTGTAATCGTTCCCAAATCATCTTTAAGCCGCTCCAGCTCTTTCTTTAGTTTCTAGTCACGGAAACAAATGGAGGTTGTAGGTTATTGCCCCAAATGGTTATGTTTCTGATAGCTGCTTACATATACACTGCTTAAATATACACTTTATATTGTTATGATATAAGCATTCATATAACTTTTTTCTTTACCAAATAAACAGAAACATGGCATTCCAGCTTTATAATCAGTGATGACTTTATTGTTCATTCCCTCGACTTAAACCTCTACTTTGTATACGCCAGGTGTATAAGGACTCTTGTTTGTATGAAGTCCACCAGGATGGGGGCAACATGCTTCTACATTGACCTAAGTCAGAGGCAGAGCAGAATTATAGGATCTTAGTTTATATCCAGCAAGAAATGTAGAACTGGGCCTCAGTAAAGAACTGAAGTCACAGATGAGCATCCAGAAAATCAGGTGACATTCACGGTCAGCAAGAGGAAATGATCCTGTGTTCTCTGACACATGTGTAACTCTTACCTCCTGCTCTGTGATTCTGAACAAGCTCTCATGTAAGTCGTCTCTTTCCAGGGGAGTCCGTATCTGCCGAATTAACCTGTCTTCACAGCTCTCTAGCCGAAGCCGAATGTTTCTCACTTCCGAGATGTAGAGATTATACACCGACTCCTCTTGCTCCTCTGTGAAAGTAAACATGGTGAGCAAGGGACTTCTCCTTCCCTGGAAGCTCTTGTGCAAGTATCAATACAACAGCCTCATTCTTACTGGGGGAAATCAGTTCTCCTCTTAGCAGAAATCCTAAAGGCATAACCTTAAAACAGGGTACCTTAAAATGTGAATCTTAAAATTTTAAAAATGCTAATCGAATTTCCCTAGGGCCATTTAAAGCACCAAATTACCACGGAAATAACCCAAGAAAGCAATGTATTATCCCGTTTTACATTCACAAAAATATGAATTATACGCTATCAATTAACCATTAAATTAAACAAAAGTCCAAAAGTAAAAAGCAGCAGATAAAGAAAGTGTTAATGTCTTAAGCTTTTTAAAACAGATTACCATGAATAAAATTAGTTGTTTTTTAAATAGTCTGAAGAGTTAAGACTAAGATTTATAATGAATAAAATTTAACTTATTAAATAAAGCCTTTTGCTTGAACTCCTTTATAAAACTGAGCACGGGAAAATAATCAAATCTTTTTGTGCGCTTAAGGATCTTCATTCTGAGTGTTGCTCTGTAAAGCAGGGCAAAGGTTAAAATGCAAGTGATAAGACCTTGTAATCTGTCTCGTAGCTTGCACCTGAGTTAAAGCCCTCGCCTATGGATGCAATAGACCTAAGACTGAGATTTCCAACGAGAGCAGAAGAAAGTCTGGATGGAACTCCGGCAGGGAAAGTAAGCAGGCACCCCACACTTTACCTCTTTCTGCAGACTTGAGAAGCTCCTGATAATATGTCCTACATACATTCACCTCCTTTTCTAGTTGAGCTATATCTGAGCCTGAAAATATTTGGGATTCCTGGCTATCCTCCAGAAAATCTTCCAATCGAGACTGGAGATTACTCAGAACCTGTTGGTGTTCGCCAGGCAACATTGTCTTTATCTGAAAGAAAAAGGGTCCTTTGATCAATGTCGTAGTGCCAAGAGTTACATTGGGATGGGTTGGATCGCAACTGGTATCACAGTATACTTCATTATATTCACAGAGGAAACATCTGAAGTTAGTAGTCTTTCTATTTATTTCAGGTTCATCTCTTATAGCAGAGAAATGGAACCAACCTAGTTTTCCATCAACAGATGAACGGATAATGAAATTTGGTACATATATAAAATGGAATAAAAAAATCGTAGAAAATGGAAAAAGTTATAATATGTAATATTAAGGGAAGTCACACAATCTCAGAAAGATAAAGAGCATTAAGTTCTCCCTCATATGTAGGTAAGAAAACGAACGTGCATGTGTATATACTACACCATGTAGAAAGTCGAATAGGAAAGGGTAAATACTAGGGGTGAGGAAGGGCTGAATTCAGGCAAAGGAGACTGAGATCAAGAAAGAACGTAAAAAGCTACTTATTTGCATTTATTTACTTACTTACTTACTTATTTTTGTCTCAACTGTCATGGGTTTTTAGGCTTTATGATGGACTAGTGAATACAGAGGATGTTTGATGGTAAAAGTATAAAATCGAATGTGAGGCTCTGTAGCTTCCGAATGGCTATCTAACCATTGAGATGTATGGACTTTGGGCCTATTAATTTGGGGTATTTTTTTTTTTTTTCATTTGCAAGTTCTTTACAATAAAGTTTTAATTAAATGAAGACAAGCAAAAACATTGATAAAATTCAATAAATGAAATTAAAATATACCCACTCTGTCTGTCCAAACACCTAGTTCTAATTATTTCTTTTTTTGAGGGGGGGAAGGAGGGGTTCCAGACAGGGTTTCTCTGTGTAGTCCTGGAACTCACTTTGTAGACCAGGTTGGCCTCAAACTCAAGGAGATCTGCCTGCCTCTGCCTCCCAAGTGCTGGGATTAAGGGCATGGGACACAGCTGCCTGAGCTCCAGATTTCCCTCATCTGTAAAGCGTGCCTCGAGACAGGCCCTAACAAGAACTCACTGAATGCCTGAATGTCAACATGTGCAGGGCTCCACACTTTTCCAGAGCAAATACAAGCTCAACCCCTCATGTGACAAGGCACCCCACACTTTTAGATACACTGGGTTAATGAGCACATTCATCATACTCACCGAAGCTACGTTACTAGCTCGAATCCTGTCAATTTCACTGACTAGATAATGCCAGGAGACTACACTCTTCATGTTTATGTGAGACTCATGCCAAAGCGTGAGCACATTCTGATACTGTTGTTCAATTCTGAAATATATGCAGGAAAAAAAAGACGTTAAGCATTTTTACTCCTTCTGAAAACATGCTATATAATCTTAAGTTTCTAAAATGACCCCCTATGTACTGGCTCTAGAGCCTTCTAGTCCTGTGGGTCCCTGACAAAGTGCCAACTGCCTCTTTAATCTTCAGCAAAACCCCCCGAACCATACAAACCTGTTTGCAAAGTCAACTGCTTCTTTGTTTGGTGGGGGGACAGTAAAACACACAGATGGGACCATAGCCTCGTTCCCAGTAGGACTAATGACCTTCCACTTAGCGCGATGAGAATTGTTTGCCAAAACACATTCATCCTCCTTGTAAATGGTTATCTGGTTTTAAGTGAAAGAGAGAAAAACCGAGGTCACCTTTAACTCATCTCCTATACATAACCTTGGGAATTATTATTTTTATGAGGCAGAGAAGGCGGCCTCATTTTTTAAGATACACGGGTTAGTGACGGAACCTGCTCCGCTTTAAGAATGACAAGCACCTCGATCTGTCTGTAGTCGCAGATAGCTTTGATGGGGATGGAAGTCTTGAGTGGATTGTCAGGGTTCCTCGGCTTCAGCTGCACTACTGTCTTTACCCTCCCCATCAGGCCGGCCACCGAGCTTCGGTACTGCAGAAGCTCTTCCTTTTCTTCCTGGTCAGGAAACACAGGCGGCTTTTAGAGCCAGTGAACGATTTCAACTCTTCATCCCACAGGGATTGACGCAAACGAAACTTCATCACCAAAGTCCGCCCTGGCCACTGGGCTATACTTTCCACATCCTGTCGCCCCTCCCCCTCTTGAATCCCTCTTCCTCATTTTGTCCGGTTACGTTTTTTCCCCCCCTGTTTGGCAATTACTACCATCTAACATTCTTCATACATGCTACCATGCAGCTACCATTTATTATCTGGGCACCACAACAGAGAGCGATCCCTGCATGCTTTTTCATGGCTCTTATATCTCCAGAACTGGAAAGATTACCTGGGCAGACACAGAAGGTGTCTACCAAGGATCTCCTTGTGGGGTTACTGCCCACACACATCACTGCTAAAGCAGTTTAAACAGCATCATACAAAGTACACTGCTATTACCAAAAACAAAACAAAACAAAAAAACAAACTGAACATACTAAAGCTTAATTGAATGACCCGATGGTGCTGACGAAGTGCAAATTTGCACCCCTAGACCACTGATCTACTCCACCATCTGTCTGACACGACCTACAGTCTGCATATCAGTACCATGGACTCTTGAACGAGGTCTTCCAGTCTGTGGATGCTGCTGGATCTGTCACAGCTGTACTTGCGCTGAATGGCGTCCTTCAGATTCCTTAGGTACTCACTTGCTTCTTTGGCATCGTTGAAAAACTAAGGAAAGATAAAATGTCGCAGCTGAACCACACTGAATGCCAGGGAGACACAGAGCTGTTAAATTTGGGAGCTCTGGCCTTCTGCATGCCCCTGACGAGGGGGAACAGAATCAAAGCACAAAGGAACTGAATAGCAAGCAATGTCTTTTTAAGAACTGAAAAAAAAAAAAAAAAAAAAAAAAAACCTTTGAACTTGGGATAGCTACGGATGAATATTAACTACCCAAATTGCACATGGATAAAATCATGCTCTGGATCTACATTATTTTCATTGGAAGTTGGTTTTACTTTAGGGCCCAACCAGTCTTTTAAGTAGAGGTGGAATTTCAAAGGATACATTGAAATTTCTAAAGAATTAAATGAAGTCTTTATTTGGCTGTCGCTATAACAACTTCCCTTAACATGAGAAAAATTTGTAGAATTAAATATTTAAAGGTCTTATGAGAGAGAGGCACAGAGAGAGAGAGGATAAATCAGAGTCAACAACTGGATGCTTTCTTCACTTTTTTGAGACGGGTCTCTCACTGAACCTGGAGCTCCCTCCTTTGGCTAGACTGGCTGGGAGCGACCCCCAGGGACCCTCCTGTCACTACTGGCTCACAGCACTGGGCACCTTACATTTTTGTTTTTTAAGTGTAGTTTCTAGGGTTTGAACGCATGGCAAACAACGGGCCAACTAAGCCATCTTCCGGCCACAGGATCCCTTCCTTAACACCTAACCCTTCCCCTCTGAGACCCAGGAGCAGCACTTACGTCCTGTGAAGAAAGTATTGGTTTATCGTGATATTCTTGCAACCCAGGCTGCAATTCTACTCACACACCTCAAAATATGCAGTGTTGTCTTTGATGTGCTGCTCCACACACTGGCAGAGCTGTAGGACCCAGCTCCACTGGGTCTGCATCGCTGCCCTGTACGCCTGAAAGAGGAAACACACAATGAACGGCGGGCGGCACAGACAGGCCAGGCGCACAGGGCAGGTCCGCGTCCACAGCTGAACATGGACCTTGCATGTATAATATTCGTGGTCTGATCCTCTGCATGGCAAATACTGATGCATGCACCTGTCTGTCTATCTGCCTGTCTGTTTGTCTAACTATCCATCCATCCATCCATTTTTTTATCACTTTTTTTTTTTTTTTTTTGACAGGATGTCACTTAGTACACAGCCTGGGCTATCCTCAAGCTTGTGGCAATCCCCCTGCCTCAGCTTCTCATTACAGGCTGGAATTACAGGCATGAGCCATCACACACAGCTCAGCATTGATGACTTCAAATGACAAAACACTCTACTATCCAGACAGATGGGGAAAAAATTTAATGGACCCAACCATGAAAACTAGGGTAGTGAATGTTCTTATATGAGAGTTCTTCCTCACACGATTAGTCTCAAAATTTGTGTATAATCTTAAATTAATACAGATAAATTTTCTCAAATTTCTAACTTCTTGGCTTTTTTCTTAGAATGAGAGAAAATGATGGGTATTTTATATGAAAAACTTACATCTGAAATAAATGCAAGCTATCACCTCTATAAAATTCACCCTTTTCTTTACCCCTTGCTCATGAATCCTGACACCTGTGTGCTTTTCTCTATGGCATTCCAACACGTCCCATTTCTGGATTTCTTTATTACTGCATGTCTGTGTTGACAGATACACAGGTCTATAGCTTTCATCTGTGTTTTGCTGAAGAAGAATGGGGGGTGGGTGGGTAGAAATGGAGGCCTACACTTTCATGTCGATGCAATTATTAATTTTAACAATATTATAATGAAAATTTATCGCATCTATTTGAATGTTTATTTAATGCAGAGTATATCTTTCACGAAAGAAACAAATACTGTAGAAAGCACACCTAGCTCCTCACGAATTATGAAACCCATTTTTATAGAAGGTGCAAATCCCTGCCTCCCACGAGAGGGAGCTCTGTGTGTGCTGTGTGCTCAGCCTGTCCCCTCTTCCTCTTGGAATGACCCCACAGCTTCTGAGATGTGTTCGGGCAGGGCCTTCCTCAAGATGCACAGTTGCCCCTGGGAATCTAACAACATACGCTATTATTTGCTCCCTCAGGCTAAGCTACATTTTTGTTTGTTACACATGGTAAGTACATGCTCTACCATGGAACATCCTCCCACCCACCCCCCCCACTAAAGGGATTTTCTCAAAAGCAGCTTCACAGGTGCCACAGGGTGTCTTTATTCTAAGACGATGAAGGGAAACAGATTGGTATGTTGGGAGTTACCTCTGAGCCAGACTGCAGTAAACACTTAGCAGTGGGATTTTTTTTTCCCTTTGTAATTGGTTAAAGAGGTTTAAGTTGACAGTTACATCAGTACTCAGTCCAGACCTCTAACCTTCTTACCTCTATCGTCAACCGGGCTGGGTGGTTTTCTAGGAGCAGTTGCTCGGCGATCTCCTGAACGGCTTTGATACTTTCCTCCTTCTGCTCTAGTTCTCTCATTAGCTCCTAGCAAGGAAGCATGAAGAAGTGTATCAGAAGCAGCGGCAAACCCAGGTCCAGCCCTGGCAGGGGAATGTGAGGCTGACTCACCGCATGGTACCCTTTCTTCCGAGCAACACTGGTGTTCCTCTCACTCCAGTCATAAGCAACTTCTTCCTCTTCCCTTTCATTCAACCAGATGAGCTCATTAGTTGCCCGTGTGACAAAGTTATGGAGCGTATCAAGGTGCCGCTCCTGAGTTCTGGATGTATTCTTTTTTTTTTTTAAAAAAAGAAAAATCATCATAGGAAACAGACTGTCAATAAACAGACATGATGGAAATAGAGAGCGTAAAGCAAACAAATTTAAAAAAAAATAAACAAAAACTTACCAATAGTTTTGCATATTGACTCTCTAATCTGTGCAACTTATCTGTGTATGTTAACTTAAGAGGCGCCGTCATCTGAATCTAAAAACAATGGGGGAAAGACATGGGGGCCATTAAGGGTCTTAAGTTCTGACTAATACTTAAAATGTTAGACATTGAGTTTTCAGGTGTTTATGTAAAAAAAAAAAAAAAAAGTAATATCTAAGTACCATAAAATATTTTTTAAAACTTCACACACCTCGCTAATTTTAGCTTCCTTAAGGCTAGCTTCAAATTCTTCAATGGCTCGGTGAACATTTTTATGGTTTTCTAAATGGCTTTCAACACTTGGCAAATCTGAGCCCCATTCAGTGCGGTCCAGCTGCACCTTAAATAGCAAAATACCAGTTTTTGTAAAAAAAGAAGAAGAAGTTGTCTCGTGAACAAGACTGGGAAACTGAGGTAAAACACTACCTGCATCTCGTCAACCCAGTTCAGGAGATCCTGAACGAATTTCATATTGACTTCCTCTTCTGTCAAATTCTGATCCAGCAAAGATGACTTTAGAAGGGGCTTTCGTATCTGCATCAGCTTCAGGGTCTGAAATGAATTCGGCTCGACTCCTAAAGTGAAACTTGGCGCTGCTACTGATGGGAAACCAGGTGTATAAGCTGGAGTAACGGACGGAGTCAGTCGGGAAGTCATCCCCGAGGACAAGCCAGAAGTCACACTAGAAGAGGTCAAGGAAGGCGTTAAACCCTGGGTGAGCCCTGAGTTCAGACTGGGGTGTAAGGTCTGTGAAAATCCTGAGTTTAGACTTTGAGTGATTCCTGATATCATGAGCTTTGTCTGTTCTGTGGTCAGCATGCGTCCTTTGCTGTACACGGAGGAGCATTCATTCCTTAAGGCCATAATTTCGTCACGCAGCGTTGCAACCCTGCAGGGACACAGAGAGGGATACGGTGCAACTGAAAAGGCCAATGCAAACTGCTGGCGTTCGCTGACGTACAAATACTGGCCTTGCAGTAGGCCACTAATGGGCCCAAAGGACATACAGGAGGGCTGCTTTTAGCCGTCGTTCTGAAATGCATGCTGCTCGAGAAGTAACTATTTTGTTTTAAAAACGTCACCGAAACTACCTTGGTAAAATTTTGCCTTATGCTTTGCTTTCACTGAATACCAGACTGCAAAAGTTCTCCATATTATTAGTCATTATAGCCACCATTTATAAAATACTTAATTATGTACCATAAGGTGATGGCTCTGTTATTTGACACTAAGGATAATAACATTTCTTATAAAATACTTTTGGCATGAACATAAAGCTTTATAATTGCATCTACTTATTACCTACCTCAAAAATAACTACTGGCTCCTAGAAGTGAAATTATTGGCTCACACATGGTTTACAAAGTTTACAGTTTACTTTCCTATGTACAGAGAGAGAGAGAGAGAGACAGAGAGACAGAGAGAGACTGACTGTAGCTTGCCAGGTTCTATTCTCTATGCCCCCACAAACTTCTCAGAAACATTTTTGTATTTGCTGTTTACTTTCCCACTTTGGGACAGAGTCCTGCTATGTAGCTCATGCAGGGTTGTGTATTTGTGATTTACCTAAGCCTTCGGAGGACTCAGAATTCATGTGGGTGCCACCAAACACAGCTTCACCATTTTTTAAAATGTGCACTGGTGTTGTGTCTATGTATATATCTGTGTAAAGGCATCAGGCACCCTGGAACTGTAGTTACAGATAGTTGTGAGCCACCATGTGAGTCCTGGGAATTGAACCCAGGTCCTGTGGAAGAGCAGTCAGTGCTCTTAACCACTGAGGCATCTCTCCAGCCCCACAGCTTTAACATTTTATACACATTTTTCTAGTATTTGGTCATGATCATTTTCATAATAGAGTCAACACAAAACTAACTGAAGATGGGAACTTTTCTTACACTTCTTCCTTTCCTAATGTTGCAAATTATTATTATTATTATTATTATTATTATTATTATTATTATTACTGTTATTATTATTTGGTAGTCTGAGGATCACACCTAGCACCTTAACTATGCTTAGTTAAATATTCACTCTGCCTCTTGGTCACATCCAAAGACCTACAAAATATTTTACATACTTGGAAATATAGACACTTAAAACCATCATTTTAATGACTCCAGTACTTACTGCAACAGTAAATTTATGTTTATTGCAAATATTGGTCCTACTTATTTTTATCAAAACATTATAATTCACATATAGAACTTAATTTCATATTATACATTCCCATCATGTTCTCATGAAAAAGTTATTGAAAAGAAGGAAGAATCACCCCTACCTCTGCACCAGCTGGTCTGCCTGGTAATATTTTCCATCAATCAGAATCTGCACGTCAATCACATGCTGGCGTAAAAGGTTCTCACATTCAAGAATGTACCCGGCAATTTCTGCTTCATTCTGAAATTGCACCCCTGATTCTAATCTTTTAGAGTCCTGTAATTTAAAAAGAACTCAGCATTAATTCTGTAAAACAAAGGTCAAAAGTAGTTTTAAACTACAAATTCCAAAATAGGAGAAGAGAAGCCTATTTGGTCTTTACTTCATTTGGTTCAAATATGTTTGTTTTCCTTTTACTCACTGCCTCCCAAGAGAGAAAATATCAATCACAATCTCTCAAAGCTTCTACAGAGTGAGTACCAGAAATCGGTGAAATAATACGAGAGGTTCCAGGTTACCCAGGCACAGACCACCCCTCTACAGCACGCCCTGGCTGCGGAACCAACTTACAGACTGGAGAGCATTTCGGGCTAGGATCAGTTTGTCTTCACAGATGACACTGTCCCTCTGAACTCGGGAAGCAATCTGCTGCAGCATATCCAACCTAAAAGAGACAAAAGGGGGAGAAAATTCTTCTTTGTGAAGTCAAAGAGCTCATCAGTCCTGAAAATCGGCCCCACCAAGCAAGCAAACATGGCGTCACACCACCGACTCCATACCTGCGTCCATCAAAGGACTCATTGCCGAAGCTAATGCAGGAGTTGATCAGTGTGGGGCCACAATGGACAGACAGAAGGTTGTCATTTGAGTCTAGACTAGTCCGAGTGCTGGTAGTGTTAGTGAACACAGAGTCGCTGCTACGGTAGCTGTAGCTGCTGCTCTGCATTTTTTAGTCCTGAAACGATATCCCAGGACCATGAAAGTAGGACTGGAGAGGCTCAACTTCCACCTCGCGAACAGTGGCCTTGGTGGAGGAGTGACCCAGCTTTAACAGATCCTTAAATATGCTTCGGCATGCATATGCAATGTGCTACAAATACTGTGCTGGTAACGATTCAGAAGAACCGTGCCTCAAGCCATTCATTTGCTTGCTGAGGTTTGCCTTTTGTAGCCTGCATTAAAGCCGTGCAAGTAGAGACAGAGCTGGATGATTGGGCGTCACTGGGAAAGATATGCCAAATATTTTCACTACGAGTCATCCAGCTGCAACCACCTAAAAAAACAACTCCAGTACCCTGGAACCCAGGCACCAGCCCCAGTGAAGGTAGTTCTATCAGTACCAACCACCAAGTAAGAAGACACAAAGATTATACCACAGCCAGACTTCTGCAAAGAGATGCTATGGGCTGGATACACAAGGCAAAATGCTGGAACAGTCAAGCAAATTTAACGAGAAACAAAATTCATCTCCATTTGACCAGCATGTCATTTGTTCACCACGTTAAAGTAACTGGAAAAACACTGAATTACTTTTCTTTGTAAGACGGACTCTCTCAGGGACATTACTTCTAAACTACTACAGCTCATATTTGAAAAGACAACGAATCCGAGTCGAATACGGGCACAAATAACTAACTGCAAATGTGTCTGGGCTTGCTTTCCCTCACACAGACTAGCAGAGGGCCCAAGAACATCAACTCTTTCCTGTTTGTCTTCCACACACCCCAAGCCACACAGCTACTGCAATTTGCAATACACAGCCAGGGCCAAAAACTTGTGTCAAGAAAAATGAGGGTTTTTTTAATCCAAGCACATTCCCAAACCCTTCCCAACCTCCAATACTACCAAGCCAAACTGATGACTCTCTGCTCTGAGTTAAACATTTTATTTTTCAAAAAAGCAGTTACCAAGTAAAATAGAACAATTAAAGCCAGGAACAGCTATATACCATACACTTACTATACACTTGTTTATATGCCAGGAAATTAAACATTTTACACACGTGACCTGATCTCATATTCACAGCCTGAAAACGTGGAAGGTATTGCTACATCCTGTTACAATGAGAAAACAGGCCTAGCGATTTAAGACCGCCTCTACGGTCATGTGACTTCCAAACTGAAGTAATACACTTAATCCAGAATAGACTGGCTCCTGAATCTTGAACTCTCAACTGCTGTCTTTCAGTAGCATACTGTTGTGGTTGGTTGCATCTGGGCTGGAAGCATGATCCCCAGCCTGAAGCGGTTAAGGGCGATTAGGTCATGAAGGCTCAACCCTCATGAATAAATTAATGCAGCTATCAAAGGAGTGGCTTTGTTACTGCCCCTGGGTAGGATGGCTGTGCTGCTCCAGAGAGCACCCTCTCTCTCCTGTGCCTGCCTGGTTCCCTGGACACTGCACTGCTCTGTTCTTCCCCTAGTGGCCTTTCTGCATCTCCCAGGGGAACACCCTCACCAGGTGCTAGCACCAGCATTTCTACATCTTTGAGTCACCAATTTCCTCTTCTTGTTTTCTCTTCCTAAGCACAAGACAGTCGAGTCTTTAATATAGCCCAGGCTTTTCATGCTCCTGCTTTAGCTTCCCAAGTGCTGGGCTTATAGTAGACTTGTACCACAACACAACCCTCGACAACAAACGTCTGTTATCCAGTCTGTAGCAATCTGTAGCAGCACCAAGTGGACTAAGACGCACGTTAACATTCTGCTACTGGTGTAGTGACTAAAGCTCTCTATCTTTTTTCTGTATCTTTCCATTCAAGTGATTCATTTAACACCTCATGTTAAGCATTAGTGAGAACTGCACCTCATGCATTTAAGACTCACTTTGACCCTTAGGCTCTGTTTCTACGGACAAGATAAATTTATGCTTTAACAAGAGTGAAACTAGTAATGAAGGGCCGGCCAGTGGAACTGGCCTTTGTATCTTAAATACATTATCCCAGGTCAACACTGAAGTCAGTGTGGGAGACCACAAGAACGCAACTACACTGGGTGTCCACTGTTATCGGCCACGCCCTGTGCCAAAGCTCTGGTAAAGGACACACAATGACAGCCTGGCTCCAATTATTAGAGCTACTATCTCAGAAACAGGTGGCTCGTATGAAATTACAACCAAGGTAAGCATTCCTGAAAAAAAAAAAAAAAAAAACTCAGAAATTATCAACCATTAAAAGGAGCCGCGTTGCCCAGCCTGGGACACTACTGGAAGGAAAACAGAGGCTGAAGTCTGAGAAGGATCAGGAGTAAAGAACAATAGGAAGTGAAATGGCTTCCCTACCTAAAGGACAGACTGCACAAACCCCTGTGAACAGAGGAGGGTGGAACGCAGCCTAGGTGAGCTCGTAAGAGACAGCCAAGGTATCCGCTCTGCAGCCAGAGCGTTACCTGACCATGCGTGCCTCCAGCTGTAAGGAGGGGCAGACAGCACAAGTCCCACACACTACAGCAGGGCTGCAGGACAGTGACCAAAAGGTCAGAGAACATGGCCGGACATGTACCCTGGTGGTGGAAAGGGGACCCGGACTAATATTCTCTGTCTTGTTTCTGCTGTTGTTGCTCCTTGAGACAGGGTCTCCGGTAGCACAGGCTGGCCTCTTTAACGTAGCGAAGGGAAAATGATCTGGAGCTTCTAATTCCTCTGCCTCCACTTCCCAAATGCGCCCGGTCTTATGTGAGAGGCTAGGGATGGAAGCCACAGCCTTCTGAAGTCCTTTACTAACTCAACTACACGCTCAACCTCCATTGCCTTGTTAGTGCTTCCATTGCCTCAAGAGAAGGAGGCCATCTTAAAACTTTAATAAGAACCACAATAGCTAATCTCTAACTTACGAACTTCCAAGCTTGGGCCCTCCTACCTTAAGGTTGCTTTCAGAAAGACTCCTGGGTGCTTTTTGTTTTAAAACTGCACTAAACACCTTATTAGACGAGACTCCACAGAGCAATCCAACGTACCAGACCCTTTATGTAGTTACTAATTGACTCTTTAAGAGTTCTTGCTACCATTTCTAGATAAGGAAATGGAAGGACAAAAACACCAAGGTTATACAAACAAAAGAACGGAAACCGTAATCTGCAGTGAGCCTTTAGGTCCCAGTAAAAACCATGTCCCATAAAACATGACGGACAGTTCCTGAGGAAAGACCAAGGTTGAACTCTGACCTCCACACACAAGTACACGCAAGTACCCAGGCAGACAAGAACGCATCACAGAAAGAACAAACAAAGCAAACAACAACGCAAAATAAAAGCCGAGCTCCAAGAGCCTGAGAATGGAGAGCACCTTACAGCAGACCCTGTAACAAGCCAGCTTCCCTACCTCTCCACCTCGGGTCTCAGCGCCTTCTCCCGCTCGAGCATGGCGATGATGAGTTTGCCCCATTCCTTTTCAATGTCATTTGGATGATAACCTTGAAGGAGTTTGATGCGTCCAAACTCTATCCAGATCTTAAGGAAACAGAACAGTTACTGTACAGCAAAGACCTGGAAACAATGCAGAAATTACACTTGGCGTTACCAAAGGACATGTCTGGCTTACCTCTAACAGTTTATATAGCCGCTTAATCTTCGATTTCTCTGTCTCCTTTGGTGGGATTTCTTTCTCTTTAAACTGTAGGTACTGATTATAAAGTGCCTGTAATGAAACAGAAAATAAATTACGGCCTACTCTGAAAGCCTGTTTCTGTCATGTTGCTACAGCCAAGGCTACTCCCTGAGTCACAAGCACTCAGTACAATTTCTTTATGGACTCAACGCTCCAGCTGCCAGGCAGCTGTGTGCTGGGTTAGGCAGGACCGGATGAGGATTGAACTGCTGATGTGAGCCATAACTCAACATTTATCACACAGGAATCTGAGCAATGACTGAGGACCAGTGCCCGGCACCCAAACATAAAAGCACATCCTTGAGAGGCTGAGCTTCCAAATACCACACACAGGTTTTTAGTTTCTAGAAAAGAGTTTGGCGACGCTGTCATAAAGGAAGGAAAGGACGTGTTGCCTTCCATTCCATGACTATTCTGGAAACTGTAGCAGCTAGGCTGGCCTGACACATGGGCCTCACCATACCACTGTCAATTTCAACAGGTTTTCTTTTGTTTTCTTTTGTTTTCTTTTGTTTTGTTTCACTAACTAGTTGACATTACTACTATAAACACTCCAATCATGCAATTACATCTCATTTGTGAAACTCTTAAAATGTTATTATATTCATTTTAGAAGACCTTTCTAAAATTTGCATAAATAAAACACTTCCACATTTAAAAGGTGCATATCAATCAATTAAGCTTAATCTATGCTACATTAAAATAGACAGCACAATTCTGCAAGATTCTATGATGGCTTGTGAACTTGCTAATTCCTAACGATATGTTTTTCTCTCCTAAATTACCCACTAGCAAGTAACCCGTGTGAATACTCAGACTCCTACAGCTTTTAAAGATCTGCAGAAGTCAGGGACCACACAAATTTGCCCAATGGTCAAAACAAAAACAAAACAACCCCTCAAGCATTCATTTGCAAATAAATGTATTTGTACATGAAACCCAAAGCTGTATTGGACCAAAACCAAAATCTTGTAGGCTGCTGTCAGTCATTAGTCACCAAATGTCACTATGTGCAAAACACTATGGCACCATGTTGCAGTAGAAGGACCCAGGTTTTCATGCCCTAAAATAGTTCATATCCACATAGAGAGACACATTACAATGGTAACACCGTATAAAAAGGTCTTTTTTTTTTTTTTTTTTTTTTAATTCAACACATACTAGCATACTAAGTAACTTTGAGCAAAGGACAAGCACACTGCGACAATGAACAGAAGGGCAATGCCACAGATGTTCTGAACAGATGTGTGAGAACAGCAAGGAACTTTCGTGGGGCCTAGCCTGTGCTATTACAGTTCTTGTGGTTCCAGCCTGAGAGTTAAAACAAAGCTTATTAAGTCAAAGAATTAAGGCTACTCTGTAGTTAGTTAAAAATAAACTGCTATTTCAAATACAAATGTATAAAATGAGGCAGCCTATTCTTTGATAAGCTGTGTATTCACAATTCCTTTATATTGCTAGGATAGCTCCATCCCAATAACCTTACCTAAGGTTACAGTATTAGCAAAAGTTTGCTAAACCCTGGCCACAAACACCAGGCTATGAGCATCGATTCTAAGTTCAATTGCACTAGAGCTGATCTGTATTTTGAAATTCCTAACATGCAGGGTGTGCCTTGTACTCTACAAAAGCAGCCCTTGGGGCAGTTCTAACAGGACTCAAGCAGAGGCACGCTCCTGGTGTGTGTGAGCTCCCCAGGGATGTTTCTGTCCCAGCATCTGGTGGCCTGTTAGCACATTCCCATTCATCATGCTAATTTCAGAAGCTCTCATATTATACCTTTAATTCTCAACAAATTAAAGTTTGAGGAATGCAGCTTCTTAAAGATGCTGCTGCTATAACTGTTTTAATTATTAATATGTACCCCTACTTTCTCCTTATATAAGACAATAGATAATAAAAAAAAAAAAAACTTGCCTACTAAAATGCATGGCTTGTCAATGGCAATTCATCTCGAACGCTAAGATTACGGGATGGACCTAGCATGAGTTTAAAGCTTTTGATGGGATCAACCCTCCTGAACTTCTACAGTACACCAACCTTTAGTTCCACGGGATTGTTAGGAAATGTTCTCTCAGACATTGTGAGCACGTGGTGTCTAATCCACTGGATGAGGTAGTTCACCATATTCTGGTATTCGATCCATTTGACTTCAACATCCTAGGAAATAAAACATCAGGACCATTTCGTGTTTATGGGTAACAACACTCATCTGGAACACAATCTGTCATACACACTCCTGGGAGTCCAGATGTCTTGAGGCTTCGCAGAGAGAATCAGGTAAATGCTTTCTTAATTTCCACTCAGCTACAATTCTTTCCATACAAACAAAATTAAAAACATGCTATCAACATTTGGTCACTAACCCTTACCCAATGAGTGTCAATTCTGGTCCAAAAAAAAAAAAGTGGCCCTCTGGAATACTGCATCAAATAGGCTTCTGAGGCTTCAAAACTTGCTGTGATCTTGGGGGGTGGGGGAGGGTTGTCCAGAGCTCCACTTAAGGGAGTGGCAGCTTGCATAGACCAGGTCAGTCATCTCTGCTGACCACTGCACATCTAAGTTTCCTAATATCTGACACTAAACCAAAGGGCAGGAGATGAAGGGACCAGACGGGGAAAGGTTTTCAAGTACTCATTAAACAAACTCTTGTAAAATGAAGGCATCGGAAGGCTGACAACTGCTATGTAATTAAGCTTCTGAAGAATGTGTATTAAGTGACAGGATTACATTCACTGTTAGAATAACAAGCAAAACTTTTAAGGTGTAATATTTGTAGTCTGGTGGAGCAACATGGGGGGGTAGTGTCTAAGTGTTCAAATGACTGAAACAGTTAAAAAATGGAGGGGAGGATACACATGTGCCTTGCATTGGTCACCAAAGGCTTCTGAGAAGTGTCGCAATGAACAGTGAGTAGCAATGTGGTCAGGGGAAGGTGAGGAGAGTGGATAAAAGACATGAGTCCCAAAGAATGCTGGGCACCAACACAGAAATGCTCTACCTATAAGTAACTGGTTAATACTACAAAACCCTAGATGGAACTGTGTAATTAAAATGCAGTTTTGACTACTGAAACAGCTGGATGAATTTAACCAGTTAACCCCGAAAACTGTAATAATAAACACAGCACAGTATATGAAACTTAATTTGGCATGTGCAGGGTTAATGCAGGGATGGAAAAGCGTATGCTATCAAGCAAGGTCAGTTCTACGTGAAGAAAGAAGAGATGAACCTAAGGTGACTGTGGCAAGAAGGCAGAGGAAGGAGCCACGGGTACCTTTCTGCAGCAGCAGCTCAGAGCAGTGAAATGGGACACACTGCCGGGAGACCCAAAAGGTTAAGATCTTTTCGTGAAAGGGGAGGGGAAGAGAACAAAACCAGACCCAGAAGTAAGAGCGTGGGGAGTGAAGCAAGCAATCGGACAAGGAGGTACAAGGCTCCCATGTCCTGCAGGCTGGGGTAAAGGGCCATCGCCCCAAATGAGCACAGCGTCCTGTTCACGGCTAGACATGGCATTTGTTTAGCATGGCCAAGTCAAAGTACACAGCTGGGTTAAATTCCACAAGCCTTTGAGAAACGGTGATCCCAGACAGGTCACACAACAGCAAACTGTGTGTCAGCAATCTAGCTCTGGTCACCTGGTCAAACACAGAGACCGGCACCGAGGCCTCAAGTCGGAAAACAACTATCTAGTCAACTTATTTCACAGGGTCTCCTGAACCAACTTCCAATTGCATTCCACAGCGACCCGGCCTATCTACACAGGATAGGAGAGCCGGCAGTTGTAAAAGGGCAGCAAGTTAAAAAGGGAAATATTTACATTCCAGTGACTCATTACTTTCATTCACAGATGTGCTGTGACTCTCAAGTAGTTTCCTTTATTTGTGACATAGAACAACTTTTTTTAGCTACACTTTCATTTCAATGGTAGAACAATGCTGTAAGATGTATGTACAATTGGAAAAATAGCATATTAGCTCAAATATATAAATAGCATTTAAAATCTGCTTTTAAAATCCTGCACTAATTGGCAAGCAATTCAATTACTGATCATCAGTGGATGAACCAACAGCTTTAAGGGCAGGAGAGCAATACTCACGTTTGCGCCAATGCCTTCACCACCTTCGGGGACTTTGGGAAACGCGTCATAGAGGGAGGACACATAGGTTATTACTGACTTTTCATCAGGTGAAGAGACATCGACATCTACAAGCAGCAACAGAAATCAATTACTTCACGATGCTCACAGATGATTTCTGGTGAGATGTGTGAGCATGCCAGCACAGGTGAGAGCCAGAAAATAACTCACCTTCGGGGTCCAGAAGTCTTATAACACCGATTTTTTCGGCTACGTAAAAAGCGTGCTCTAAATTTGCAAGGTTGCTTTGAACAGCAACAGTATTCATGTCTATCAGGTCCGGCCTAGGAAAAAAAGTGCACTGTGTTAAGTTTCTTACACGTCAACTCAGCATGACAAGCTCATGAATTTGCTACCTAAATAATAGCACCTGCAAATACTAGTGCCATACCCATATAAGTCTGAGGCTTCCGGCTTCCTCCAAACACTTGCCTTTGCCTACTTGTCTCAGAGGTGTGTATGGGCCAAAAGAAACACACACACACACACACACACACACACACACACACACACACACACACACACACACACACAAAGCATATGTCACTTCCTAGAGTCCATGATTAGATATTATGACTATATCTATCCTCCCCAACTGACTTAAGCTCCTCTCTCCCGGTTTCATCCTTCAAATTCTCCCCGAATGCCAAAGTTGTCTGCTTACTCTAATGCCATGCCCATGGCACCCTCTGCTCAGGGTGTCCTATTTACCGTTGTTGTTTACAATCCTTTGTCCTTCCAAGCAGAGTTGGCCCCACCTCCTCCATAGGACACTCCCCTCAATCCATCTTGTCTGGCCCTTAGCTCCTTGTACTGCTAGGCTGTACTCAGTGTAGCAACAAGGGTAATTTTATACTTCTTTGCCCTAGGAATCAATCTCTCTCTCTGTCTCTCTGTGTCTCTGTCTCTCTCCCTCTCTCCCTCTCTCTCTCTCTCTCTCTCTCTCTCTCTGTGTGTGTGTGTGTGTGTGTGTGTGAATATCTTGTCTCTCTCAATGGTTCACTGCAAGATTGCAAGGACCAAATCCAAATACACTTCTACAGTTTATCCTCCTACTGAAATATATATCCACTGATAAATATCTACTGGTATGTTATGAACAGATTGGGTAGTTAGTAATTTGACTAGTAAAATTTCATTCACCTGTGTACTTATAACCTCTCTCATCATCAGTCTCTCTCTCTCCCTCTCTCTCTCTCTCTCTCTCTCTCTCTCTCTCTCTCTCACACACACACACACACAGAGAGAGAGAGAGAGAGAGAGAGAGAGACAGCTCTTTATCCATTATAATTTTTAAGACATGCTATCCTACACTACAGGGATACTCTGAAGCTCGTTCTATCTACAAGAGGAAAAGACTTCACCTATTCTCTGTTAAAGACTGGTGGGACATGATGGCCAGAACCTCACTCAGCCTGAGCCCTGACTCTGAACTCAAGAAAACAGCTGTAAGAGAATATAGACAAGCTTGGGAACAACAGAGTCTTCCAAGGAGGAGAAGCACAACACTGCCTCTCCGCAGCACCCACCCCTGCACTCTCTCCCCGCAGCACCCACCCCTGCACTCTCTCCCCGCAGCACCCACCCCTGCACTCTCCCCGCAGCACCCACCCCTGCACTCTCTCCCCGCAGCACCCACCCCTGCACTCTCCCCGCAGCACCCACCCCTGCACTCTCTCTCCGCAGCACCCACCCCTGCACTCTCTCTCCGCACCCACACCCTCAGATCTCCTTAGACATTCCCTATCACTTTTCAGAGGAAGCCTCTCTGTAATCCTGCAGGCTCTCAGGTTTGCTCACACTACCCCTCAGGGAAACACACGAACAGTGTGTCCTCTGTGTGTTCCAGGTGATGTGGGACTTAGGAAGTTACCTGGAACACTGTTTAGCACTCACTTGCACAGGAAACTCGGGTTCATCAGTGATCTTAAGAGAAAGGTAAACACAAATGTGTATTTCTTTCTTGTTTGCTTCTTTAGCCTAAAGAAAAGGCAGGATTCCACCCCCACCCCCCAAAAAAATCTATGCCTGCTATTATTTGGGCTTGGAGGGAGTGTTCATGAACTGTAAATGTAGCTCCATTTCCTATTTGTTCACATTCCAGAAAATCATTCCCTGGCCTCCACATCCACCAGTGTGACCACCACAATCACAATTCACCACTGACAGCAGTAGAGGTAAGGGGCAGCCTCTACAAATAATACTTTTTTTTTTTTTTTTTAAAGAACATACCCATGACATCTATTGATGTCAAGAATACTAAACAGGAATGTACAAAAGTCTAGACCAGGTACCTAAAATTCTTCCAATAGAAGCATTGTTTTGCTTCCACAAAATTCAAATTTCCTGGAGAAATTAAAACCAGACTTTGAGTCTGCCAATCTCTGAACAAGAAACAGCATGCTATTATGAGAACCCTGCCATTAGCAAAGAGTGTAAACACTGAGTAATCCCAGAGAGAATGAATAAAGTCATTGAAGAATGAAGTTTTTTGACCAAGAGAATAAAACACAAAACTTCCTTTAGAATGATGTCATTTCAGAGCAGAAACAGCTGCACAGTATAGTGAGCTTGAATAAGCCCCTCTTCTATCCTGAACTTAACACTTCATCAGAGCAGTAACTACAGTGGTTGGCCCCTACCAAAACTTTGGAGTAGATAAAGCAAATTGGGTAAGCCAAAGTAGGAAAGGGGGAAACCCAAAAACAACTGAAAGACTTCCTAGCTACTCTTCCAGCTGCCCTTCCTCCTCCTGGAGCCCTATCTACCTCCTCCTCTCTTGGTAGTATCATCGGGCAACACAGTCTTTAAATATCTCACCTGCTTTGGGGATAGGGAGATGGTTCAGTGGGAAAGAGCCCTTGGTTTGCGAGCCCCCGTGTTTGTATTCAAATCCCCAACATCCAAATAAAAAACTGGGCTTGGCTTTGTGTGTCTGTAATCTCAGCATTGGGTGGCAAAGAGAGAGATGTCAGGATTGGCCTGGCTGGTGAGCTCCAGTTCAGGAGAGAGCCTGTTCCAAGGCACTAATGAAGCAGACTCCAATAGAAGACACTCAAGATCCTGCTCTGGCTTCTACATGTGGTTCAAGGGCACATACTCCACACATGCATATACGCTCATGCATGCCACACACACAAATAAATTCAGAGGCTTTCCACTTACTGAGATTTTTATTTCCATTGTAAAATAACATCGTGTGTGTGTGTGTGTGTGTGTGTGTGTGTGTGTGTGTGTGTGTGTGTAAAATGGTAGCAGGAATTTCATTTTCAACCTGGTTGAAAAGGGCAACAGACCACACCGTAGGCACATGAAGGCTATGTGTTCCTTCTTACATTCCACTAATATTATAATTTTTCTAATCATATAAAGCAATCCTGGCAAAAATGTATGCTAGGTTTTTTTCTTCTTCTTCTTCTTTTTTTTTTTTTTTTAACATTTTATGGACAAGTTCTCAATTGTCTTATTGCCTTATGATAATTTAATTTTTCCAAATGACTCAGTCATCATAGATTGTAATTTTTAAACACCATACCCCGTCTTTTCTTTCAGGAATCATTGCAATTGAAGCAAAGATACAAGAAAATCACAAAATTTCAAATCGAAAATAAGATCAAAAGGACATAAAGTCAATTTGGAAGTGTGATCAGAAAGTGCCAGATGTAGAGGTATACAACTTAAATCCAGCACCCAGGAGGCAAAGATGGGCAGATATCTTGTATGAAGATAGCCAGGTCTATGTACAGAGTTGTAAGCTGGCCAGGGATACAGTGAGACCCTATCTCAAAATAAAGGCAAACTACCCCTACATATGTTTAATAGCTTTAATAGCTCTAAGCAAAAATGTATTTAAAAGAGAGTGCTGGTTAGTTAGTTTGGTTTTTTGTTTATCTTTTTTGGGTTTTTGTTTTATTTTGTTTTTTTCTTGACACAAGCTAGAGTTATCAGGGAACAGGCAATGTTAATTAAGAAACTGGCCCATCAGGTTGGCCCATCAGTGGCTGGGGGCATTTTCTTGATCAATGACCCAGCCTCTTATGGGTGGTACCATCCCTGTCAGGTGGACCTGGGTGGTAAGAAGTTAAGCTTAGCAGGCCACAGCAAGCCAGTAAGCAGCGTTCTTTCATGGCCTCTACTTGAGTTCTTTCCCTGATTTCTCTCAACGCTGGACTGGAAACTATAAGATGAAATAAACCCTTCTTTGCCAGGTTGCTTTTGACTATGGTAATAGTCACAGTAACAGAAATAAAAGAAGGAAAAATGGCTATTGATACAAGTTAAGTGTTTGAATAAAATTAATATTTACGAGTCTGCATAGTACCTATTTTTAAAAAGCACTCACTTTAGAAAAGAATGTTTACAATCACACACATGCATACGTATACATACACACATGTGAGATGTATGTACATGTAGGAACAAATATGGATAGATACATAATTTCAAAATATCTCTCTAGAAACAGCCAAAGCTATTTGAACACTAAAATTCTACAAGAGATTTTACTTGGGGCAGGGGATAACTCCAATATTACTTTCTGGACTTTAGACACTTTGTTAGTACATTAACTCATAGAACTAGGTAGGATGCTGTGGAGAAATACCCAAGAGACCCCAGGCCTTTCTACTTGTAAAGCAATTTCTTCTGAAACTCAGAACCCTCGGCTCCTTAAGACTCAGGAAGCAAACAACACAGAAGTCTCAGAAGTCCTGAAACTGACTAAACTCTCTACTCTTCTCCCTCTCCAAGGTTTATAAACAGTGAGGTGCCTGGAAGGGATGCAGACCAGCCAACCTGCTTAAGGCACTCTCCAACCCGCTGACCTGTTGAGCTCTTTGTGTGTCCTGCAATGAGCTGCACACTGCCAGCCTTCCTAAAGCTGTCACCATGCTGAGCTGGGCCATTCTGTGATACAGTTGATTTCGAGTCATTCCTGACTCTATAGATAATCCCTCAACCACACTCTTATTGGTAGCGTGTATACGTGTGTGTGTGTGTGTGTGTGTGTGTGTGTGTGTGTGTGTGTGATCTCTATATGTTAGCACTGTGTATCTCTAATAAGCTGCATTTTCCTTTGAAGCTACAATATTTCTTAAAACTTGCATCTTATTTTATTCCTTTAAAATAAAATCACTTTATTCTCACAGTAGAAATGCAAACACAGAGCACACACATACTAACATCACCTTCTCCCCCCAGTACAGCACCAGAGACTGTTCTGAACTCTCTTCCAGTGTTCATTTTTACTGTTTAAATTAGAAGCAAAGATACAGACTATTGAAGA